TGATATGTCTCGATAAAGGATGTATTGACACTTCAAATATGTTAATAAATAAGCCCATACTGTTAATATTATACAATATCCATGACAACATGATCTGGAGATGCATGTATTTTCTATTTTTACTGTTTCAATCTTCAGTGAAATAAAAGTAACACATACCCTCGAAGAAAAATTACAAAAAAAGCATTACTTCAAACTAGTTTTGCATTATTGATTGTTGTACACGGCCGTTTGTTGTTTTCATTCGTTTAGCGGGTAAGTTTCTCGGTTCAACTACGGTGCTCTTCGAGTGCATTCAATATTAGTTCCAATCAAGAAAAGTATATCAATCACTTAAATGCACGCAACGGCTTGCGTTTTCCTTTTTAGTCTATAATGTTTAATCACGCAAAATCATTTTCTACATGAACTTTTCTAGAGAGAATTTCTTGAACGTGATGGAAATAGAGATCGACAGCGAACCATCTGTTTAACATTTCGTCGGAATTCGGGTGAAAAAAGCCATTTTACATAGAATTTATTCATGTATGTGCTCGCTTCCAACATAATAAACAGTGCGTTGAGGAATTTCCATATTTCGGCTCGATGTCCAACATCTCTTCGACATTGATAATTAAGAGCATCACTTTCGAAGTCTTTCATTTTCAAATTGAACAATTGTAAGATTGTTATTGGTATAACAGCAAAGAGCGTATAAATACTGACGAAAACAAGCAACAACGAAGACGTTTGTTGCTTCCGACGTGCTCGAGAGTCGTGTTTTTTTTGACAACGATTGCAGCAAATATACGAAGTGCATATAAAAATCATTAAGCATGGGATAAGACGACAGAGCAAATTGATGTATGGCCAGACGGAATAGAACCAAACGTGTGCATAATCATGTACTTGGCAAGCTTGACCGAAGATAATAAATGCTTTTCCATAGTATTTCAACGAATATCGATAGTGAATAACGAAGAAGATCGCTATTGTGTACGTTAAGAAGATTTTGATAAGCACTCGTTTGTTTGTTATTTTGGAATGTGTCCGTTGTGGATACATGATCATATGTACGCGATCGATATTCAATAGGGCGATTAGAATAAGCGAAATCAATGCTGTACTACCAACGAATGGATAGAAATAAGCGCAATTGAGGACTTTTCGTGGATCTGGAGCGAGATTCACTGCATCAAGCCAGTCCCAAAAGAAGAATATCAAATAGATAGTTTCGGAAATGGCAATAAATATGTAATATAAGCAGGTTGGATGGAATCGTTGTCGATCTAAATTGCACATGGTTAATATCATTAAGATGTGACCAGGTATGCCGAATATAGGGAATAGAAAGGCACCTATTTGCCAAACAAGCACATCGATTCCGAAATTCTCCACCAAACACATCGATGTCGTGTCACTAATGTTCGACATTTGGATTGTATATTCTATTAGTCAGTATTCGAAGTTCTATGAAATATGAATAGCTAAAAGTAATTATGTAAATGCAAAACTGCATTGACCAATCTGATGGAATTTCTTGTTATGCGATCTAATAAACAATAATTTTCGAAGTATGTATATATCAACATTTAATTTCCAAGGATTTCAACGATACGCGAAAGGGTGATGAGAAAAAAAAACTTGATCCACTTTTGAAAGATTTCTCGTCGTAGTTGTCAGTGCAAAGTTTGTCGTGCTTTCTAACACGATCCAATTATGGATGGATGCACGATGTTCAGTTTCGTTTACTTCTTTCGAGAAATTAAACTACTTAATCATTTAGAATGATGCATATATATCATTATGAGATTCTTCAGAATGTTTCAAGTGCAGTTATTTCATATGACTTGTTTTGTTTATTGAAACCTTGTACGAAATGAGTCGATTTAAAGAGTATACATTCAATTCAAGATCTGATTTGAAAGCGAACAGATATGTCGGCGTCAGACATTGTTTAGTGTAATCATATCGTTGTTCAACATAGAAAAGATCAATATTTGTCTTCGAAATCAGTATGTATGTATGTAATACAATGATGAACTGAGAGGTTAGTTATTGATTAATTCACATTTCAAACCGTCTGAATCTTTAGACACAAATGTTTATTTTATTTTTCTTCTTCCATTTTCTTTTTCTCATTACCGACATTACATACGGATCTCCACGTTGAATCTTCATGTTTCTCTTCTATTGACAGGACGTTCGCTACCATAGAGAGTTCTTATTTTATGTTTATTTAGTATGTTCGTTCTTGATGTGTTTAAACTAACTGATTGAAATATCCTCCCTTCTTTTTTTTCTCTTCGTTCTTCTTTTTACCTCATCTTGGTTTGATTTTACCACGGGCCGTTTTTTTTTCTTCTTCTTCTTCTTCTTCTTTTCTTATTAGAAGTGTTGACTTGTGGTTTGAACGTCATTTAAACAATTCAACGAGGAGAAGAAGAGAGAGAAAAAAAGACAAATTATGAACGAGACCGATGAATACTCAAACGTCCAACGACGTCTTTGCGCGGTTATAGCCAAATCCGAATGGACATCTTCTCGTATGCGCATGCAGAAAAGTGGCGAAGAATTACGAGAACGTCGCGCCAAGTCACACCGAACAGCAAACCAGTTTCTGCAAGAACTCCTAGAAAAACGCACTGACAGTGATTTAATCGATGATCACGGCGCTGTCGATCGTTACCATCACTTCGTTAAATCGAAATCTACTCTTCATAATGATACAAACACGACATTAGATGAATTTCATCGACGATTACGTGATCTCAATAATAACAATCACCACCAAAAAAGCCCGATAAAAAAGTTGCCCGATGTAAATTTCAGTTCAAAACAATCACATGATAGACGGTCAACAACAAGTGAAATTCGCCACGATGAAGACGATGATGACGAACGAGTATGTCAATATTATAAATCGCTTATCATTTAGTTGTTCATAAAACAACCTTTGATGCGAAAGAGTCTTTCTATTGAGACTACTCTCCAAGTAAAATTTAACTAAAAGGTTTCTGTAGGCTAAATGGAAATTCTTTTTCGAAGAAAGCAATCAAGTTAAAATCAACCTTGATTTGAATTATTAAATCCACACATAAGAGAAGACTCTCATTCAAAAGTAATTAGGTTTGCTTTCTCTCTTCAGTTAGAACAATATTACGTAATCGGCAAAGATTGGTTTTGAGTAGCTTGTGAAACACTCGTTTATGAAGAAGATTATCTAACGACCATGTATCCTAAGATGTTCAATTCATCTGAAGACCTACCTACTTGCAAGTATTCGGATGGTTGAAGTATTATTTTTACTGTTCGAGATGTACATATCGATTTTTTAAAGATAATATTTATATTCTACCGAATCGTTCGATATCAATACAAACAGAATACATAGAAACGTTTCGAATCATTTTTTTTTGAATAGGTTTGTTTCGAATACGGAGATTTGAGATTTTGTTTTAGTCGAAACGATCACGAATATTTCCATCGATATCTATCCTACCGGCAACCTCGACTCCTAATGATACGACGCATGAATTAACAACATCAAGTTTTCATGTCGATGAAATTCAGAACCTATCCTACGTTCAATCACCAAATACTTCGTTTATTCACAGTTCAACTAATCCTGTTGAGTCATCACTTAATGAGCATCATCAATCATCATTATTAGATAAATTCGAAGCATTGAATTCTTCGACGTTGTCATCAACTCATTCACAGACGCCAACTTTACATGTACCGAAAGCTCGCCGAGCAGATGGTACCGAACTCGGCCTTTTATCACCATCTTCATCTTCACGATCATCCTTGTCGTTTTCAAAAAGTCCAGTACTTACGAATATTTCATTATTCAATCATTCGTATCTTCCACGTTCATTAACAACACGAGGAAAATTCAACGTAAATTCCACATTCAAACGTCAATTACCAACTGTTCCATCATCTGATCAAAAGCCTGTCTTACAGGAACATATTTCATCTGATCAACTATACGATTTACTTGACAATCTAGACACTCCTTCATCTCAAGATACATTTACGCATAAACTCGAACAAATAACTGTATCAACAAAAGTTTCAACCAATGAAGAATCTCACGCCAATCATTCTTCAGTCGAAAATCCACCAGTAATGAATAACGACAAAGAAAACATTCTCCCGAATCTGTTCAATCACTGTCAAACATCATCACGAGAAGAACAGTTCTATTCAACGTTTCAAATTAACATTGAAGACGTTAAAGATCTCATTCTTTATACAATGACATTAAGTACAGTTCAATTGAGTGCATCTATATTACTGCCATATTCGATACTTAACGGTCGACGACCTCTCTTAACATGTTCGAATCAAACATGTTTTAAAAAGATTTCGTCCAAACAACCGAAGAATACTTATCAAGTAACAGCGATCGAAAAATCGTTAAATGCAACGGAATTTCAACCGAATGATATTATATTAAAAGTAAGAGAAGAAGTTGCTCACGGTTCGATCAAGTTCTTTGTTTTTAGGTTAATGACCAATCTGTATGGGGTATGACTACCGATGAAATTAGTGAACTTTTGCGAACTTCGACTCAACGATCTAATCCTTGTTCGTTGACTTTTGCTCGACTTTGTCAGCCATTTATTTAAATTTGAGTATTTTTCAAAATAAAATTCATATGAGACTGCAACACATGTGAATGTCAGTTCGCTGAGAAAAAAAAAGACGCCTGCTGAAGTATGATGTAACACTCCGCATCTTATATAAGGTTTTATTACAACACAGTTTAGAGAAATATGAGAACTCGTTTGATATAACAAATGTTTTTCTAACTAAAATCAATCAGCCTGCTTAATTGAAAGACTAAACAACCTTCGAATGTTCGTTTCACTATTTTTTCTTTTAAAAAATGAAAGTCTATCAATCATTTTATTCATCGGAATGATATAAAAGGAAATTAAATAAGAAACAAAGTATATTCATTCGTATGATGAAAGACGAATTTTCGTGTCGGTTTTTTTCTTCTTCAAAGTTTAGATTTCGCGTTTTGTTTTATCGATGTCCAAACTGGATGAACCTGCAGTATCACATGAAAAAGAAAAATAAGAATTATCAACGAGCTCCGAACGTTTTACTTTATAACGATTTGCTGGATTGAGACGGGCTCGTTCCATCAATGCCTCGTAAGCTTGACCATCGTAACGACCAAGACATGAATCTAAACAACCTCGAAGTCGACGCGACTGAAAATGATAGAAAAAAACTTACTCAATTCATTATCATGGAAATCGAATGCATCAACTAGTGCGACTAGGTTTGGTCGAAGACGAGCATACATATCTGGTAAACCGTAGGTTTCCAATTGATAGATTTGATCAGGTGTGAGCAATTTTAGCTAGGTAATAAAACGAGCATTGAAATAGAGTCGAATGTTGATGACACAAGAAGATTTACTCGAATGAAATCCGCTGCTGAGTTGCGTAAAGTATCGATAGCGAAAACATGGAAGAGTTGCTCGAAAACTAACGCCAGTCCTTTATGCTCGGAAGCCTTTCGTACACCATCGTAGAATGCTCGCAAAACAAATGTTTCAACATAAGCCTAAAACAATCGCGAACTATAATGAAAGATACGGATTGATGATCGTTTACTTTTGCCACATGAACGAGCTCGATGGAATTTTTAGAAAATACACTATACGGTGTCGATGATGATGACGATAGTTCACTCAATCGAGTTGACATTGATTTCAACAATCTAAATGATGGAAGTGTTAGAGTACAGATAAGTCATTCGAGTTAATAAAACTTACAATTCTGATCGTGCTTCGAATAATCGGCAGTAATCGTCTAAATTAACAACAGTAGCTGGTGCTACCCTGTTTGAGTATAGGAAAGCAATCGATGAGTCTGGATTAGTTTCCGTATTCTCATCCAATTGTTGTATTACTTTCAAAAGAAATCTATTCATTAATATTTCGTTAGAAATGCATACAGATAATCGTTCAATTCGATATTACCTAGCTGTTTGTTGATACAAGACAGCGTTATCACCTTCGTACGAGCAACCAGCATCTAACATATTGTTTATACCTTTAATGCCGCTGGCTACTAGAAATCCATGGCCACCACAAGCTACACGACATATTTGAGACCATCGCTCACCATGTGTCGATGTATACGCTTTCAAACCAGACGAAATAGCATGAAGCTAGATAAACAGAATAGAAAAACTTTTATCTATAACCAAAAATAGCAACGAATACCTCCGGTAAGAGCTCAAATAGAATTGTATCACCATCGAGAATAGATGCGCGGAAATGTTCGAGTTTTATAAACGAATAGAAGAATGCGTATGTAGCTGCAAGACATGGTACTAATTTTTCTTGCTGCAATGGATAGTCCAAAATGAGTGTTTCTTTGCTTCAATACAAAATACATAAATGAAAATTTCGGGAAGACAGATGCAAAATGGTGTGCTTACCCATCGGGATTTTGTCCTTGACGTCGAACAGCTGAATATCGCATAGCAATCGTAACAGCGCGAGCAAGTAAGATCGAAAAGAATGCACATAGATTGACACGTGTTGCTAACATTGCACCATAGAGCAAACGAGGATCACCCAAACGATGAAAAGTGCCTTGCTCATCGACCTATACAAAGCACACGTCTTCTTTGGTGAAATATCATGACGCACATACGTAGGCTAATTTCATCAACATTTGATTTCGTGGAATGCGTACGTTCGTTAAGCGAAGGTATCCATTATCGCCAACTTCATGCGCAAATCGTGTACTGATTTCGCCCACTTCCACTCCTACAGAAAAAGACAATAACCAATTCAATATCTTACACGCAATATTTCACCAGGTAATGGCTCGTGTGTATTCAAATCTCGAATTTGTACAAAAAACATCTGTAAACCACACGGATGATTTCGATCGGGTGTGTACAATTGCGCCATCAATAGAACATAATTTGTCGATCGGCCTAATGCACCAGGCCAGAACTTTGTCGCTGTTAATGTTGGTGTATTCAAGACAAATGTATCTGTTTTACCATCGAAAACAGCTTCGGTTTCTAATCGTTGCACATTTGAACCGTGGCCCAATTCCGTTTGAGCATAAGTACCAATAATTTGAAAAGATCGAGCTAATGGTAAAAATTTCTCTTGCTGCTCATCGCTGGCCATGTTTTCTAACGTATGCAGAAACATACTGGTGTGCAGACCAAAAATAAATCGACCATTGGTAAAAACGCTTAAGAACCAGCCAAGAAATTTTCGATCGGTTATGTTCAGACGTTCAGCTTCCTTAATAGCAACGAAACTTTTACGTATAAGTAAGGCGTAGAATTCGTCAGCATCGAGATATTCCAATGGTAAATGAGTCTTATGAATCGGATGAGCATAGGCAAGACGAGCTGATGACAACAAATAGACGACTAAAGTGAATAGAATGTGTCCACTGATAACTTACTCAGTTGGCGGCGTTTGTTAATATTAAAGTAACTGTTTGGACCGCCAAACATGAATTGCGTTAACTGTTCAATATCGAATGTTGCTGATCGACGTTCACGCAGCAGGTCAGAATTTTTTGTGTCATTTATTTGATAATACGGGCCTTGATCTTGATTCTCAACCATTTTGATATTTTTATCTAACAACGATAAAACAAAGGACAACAGAATTTGATTCATTTCAGTTTTCTTTTATATAGCAGTTTTATCAGTTATCTCAGTTGTTTGATCGCCCTTTTTTATCGGGTTACTGAAAACACACTGCATGTGTGATGAGCAGTGCCAAAAGTATTTAATCGAACAAAACCTTGTTTTTCAAATGTCAGTTCTTTACTGAAATCATTCCTATTTTTTAGAAAAATTTATACACTAACGCTGTGAAAGTCGTAGATTTACATCGATAGAAACAGAAAAATATAATAAATTCAAACGTTAATAATCTATAGTATAACACATATAACACTAATAGTTAATATGCACAACAGGAAAAAAACAAAAGTATTCAACGCGGCACTAGAAAATAACATCTCCTTCAATCCTGTTGTCATTCATATCACTCGCTTCATGGTCTACTGGCCACATGTTTTGTGTTAATGGGTTCATTTGTTGAAGTTCTTCATGTAGACCACTGATATAATCATCGATATAAATATCAAGATTTTGAAGATAGAGTATGCACATGATTAACTTGTTCATAAATCTAACGGTATCTTTTACGCCATCACAACGCGATAGAACATACCGCCATAATAATTCTATGTAAATATTCTGGGCTGCTAAGATCGATAACGGATCGGTATACAGTCCACTAAACGTAGAATTATCGAGAACTCGATAATTATTACAGGATAATACGAGAACGATGAGAATGATTTTCAACAGTATAGGATCATGAATGTACTGTTCTAAGATTTGATTACGTTGTAAAAGACGTCGAGTTATGTCAATACCAAAAACATTCAACCACGTGGCAACTAAATTCTTGTGTGGTGATGGCTGCATCAGAGGTTCATTAATATTGATCATCACACCGAAGTGATATTTAACTAGACTGACTTTGTCATCAATATTTATTTGCTCGAATTCAGGAATATGTTTGAAATAGTTGATAAAGGCTGGAAAAAGAGCCGAGAATTCATTGAGAAATTCATGGATGGATGTGTGCTGAATGGATGGAAAGCATGAGAATTGAGGATTTTTAGTAGCTGTACATGTGCTTTCATATGCGTGGAATATATTCGACAAAATGACTTGATCACACGGCGAAAGGCAGTTGACAGGTTTGGGCGACATAGAAAGTAATACTGGAGATTTCATCTATCAAGAGAAATGCAAATCAGAGTACATCTTTACTGTTTTCGAAATCTTGATGAAAAGTAGAATAAACATTTTCTGTGCTATCAACTAGAGATTACACGTCAGAAGTATTCAGTAGCTCGAACATCGTTCACATACCCATTTGGCGCACTGCTGTTTTGGAACCTTTCCCCGCTTTAGTCGATTGATTTCTACTAGTTGATTACGAGCATCTCGTTCTTCGTCCGATAGAATCATTCCCTTGTCCATTCCCACACGAAAACATTTCGCCAGTCGACAGCAATTACACGATCGACGAAACTTGTACGATATTATACAATCACCGTCATTATGACAAACATATTGTTGGACCTTTCGAAGGCAGGAAAGCAATTACAGGCATAGACAAAAACAATGTAAACATACACCGAGTTTGATGGCATTTCGACGGAAGAAAGCTTTACAAGGCATACATGTCGATACACCGAAGTTTAATCCAATTGCTGCATCACCACAAACCAAACATCGACCGTAGTCTTTGTTTGACATTTCATAGTACCAAGGACAAAGTTTAACCCGATCAATCTAGAAACGATTACAGAATAATATGAAAACGGGATATGTGTATGCCATGTAAATAGAATCTAATCCAAACTCGTCCACATCACCACACGCGTCTTATAGAATAATTACGACAAGTTTTGTTTGCTGTATAATATATCTCATAGTCTGACCAGATTCAGTATTAATGAACATTTACTTATGTTTTACACTGCCAACGGCTGTCGTGCAAAGAATTTTGAATATTACATTGTCGTGGCTTTATTGTACAAAGGAGAACATTTCTTTCACGATAAGTTCTTTTGTCTGACTTATTTGATGATCCTTCGTTTATATATGAACCTCATGAATTGGTATAATTATGTGTTAGCAATGAGCCTCATATCCCGATTATAACATCAATGAACGCTAATTGTATATCTAAAACATTTGAGACGTTTGAAGAAACTGCTATTTTCATTACACAAGAAAATGCTGAAAAAAAATAGAAAACTTTGATACTGGGTTTTTTTCTCAACAATTCAGCGTAGAAATAGAAAAAAGTGATGCTTATATATATGGGTGTGTCCATTAGAAGTTGTCACGTCTAACCGGCAATCTAGTCTGATTTTAATAAAACTTTCAGGATTTGTAGACGTCTGATTGTTGGTAACTTCGGAGGTGAACATTTTTTTGGTAGAAAAATCTCGAAATATTTAACTTTACGAACTACAGATGATATCAATGGAACCGCAGGTGATTTTAAAACGATGGAATTACTTTTTAGCGACAGTGTAGATGAAAAATAAATAAGAAATACTAATTTATCACATCTGGAATGTTTGCTTCCCTTGATGTCAAAGTTAGGGAAACAACAAGCCAATGCATGTTATAAGGCATGAACTGACCTACTAAACTGTCAATTCAGCATTTCTTGTTCATTTCACTTTTGATGAAAGCCCAGGAATCGCCTCAAAGTCATCTGCAGAACCAAACAGTTTTTCGAAAACTTCGAATATTCTGATGCCGATTATCATGAGGACTCAGGATATTATATTGGTTACTAGGTTTGATCCGGTTTTCATAGAGAAAAATCACGTTTTCTCTGAAAGAAGATCAGAACAGCTTAGTAGTGTTCTTATTATCTATCAGGGAAGACAAAGGTGAAATTCGAACTATTTACTGCCAAACTGATAAGCATCAAGAACGTAATAAACGCCGAAAGTTTTATCAAAATCGGAGGAGGTCGTCAGATGGGCCGGTGATTTCCGGTAGATATACCCATGTATATGTAGATATATTAATGTGTTGAGTGTTTCACTATACAAAAATACTAAGACAACAGAAGGTGTTTTAACAAAACAAAATATGATGTTTCATGATTGTAAATTAAACACTAATGTATGTTCATACAAAGACTGCTAAAATTACTCAATCGCGATATTGAACAAACCAACCGGTCGATTGATTGGAATTGGCTGTTAATCATTCGCAGAACATTAAAGAGCAATATCTTCTGCAACGTCCATATCTATTATTTCTTCAAATTGCGATGAATTTGGCCACATATTCTTCACTATTGGATCCATCTGTTCAATTTCCCATCGAAAATCGTTTATATGGTCGTCGATGTCCATGTCCAAATTCTTCATGTACAAAACACACATGATTAATTTGTTAAAGAATTGAACTGCATGCTTGTGACTTGCCGAACGCGAAAGAATGTATCTCCATAGTAATTCGACGTAAATATTTTGAGCAGAAAATATACCTAATGGATCGTCACAAATCTGGTCTATATCAATGTAATGAAGATTACGGCCATTACTACTGGAGAGGACCAGGATAACAATAAGAAGTTTCAAAATCATTGGGTCATTTAAATATGCTTGAAGCAGTGCACTGGATTTTAGAAGACGCTGAGCAATTTTGACACCGAAAACATTTGTCCATGTTACAATTGCATTTTGCAAAGACATCAGATGCATCATCGGTCCACTCAAATTGGCTATAATACCGAAATGATTCTTCAACAAACGTACTTTATCATCGATAGTAAATCTAGCAAATTCTGGTATGTGGTTCAGAAATTGAATACAACTTCGAAATTCGAAGGATATTTCGTTGCAATATTCATGTAGAGATGTGTATTGGATGTTCGGAACACGTTGTAATTCAACATTTTTCGCTATTGTACAGTTGTTTTCATATGCACCAAAGATGTTGCCAAGAACAACCTGATCATTCGGACGAAGGCCATACAGAGGATTGGTTGAGATGATCAGTAAAGGTGATGGTTGCATCTAAAATTGACATTTCTCTCTTTTCTTATCATAGTCGATCACAATCTAAATTCACAAGCAGACGTGCCTTTCCTCACACTTATGAGATTCCTATGCACTCTCCTTGCTATTTATAGCATATCAAGTGTGTCTAAAGAAACATCTTCCACATACCCATTTGGCGCACTGCTGTTTTGGAACCTTTCCTCGTTTTAGTCGATTGATTTCTACTAGTTGATTACGAGCATCTCGTTCTTCGTCCGATAGAATCATTCCCTTGTCCATTCCCACACGAAAACATTTCGCCAGTCGACAGCAATTACACGATCGACGAAACTTGTACGATATTATACAATCACCGTCATTATGACAAACATATTGTTGGACCTTTCGAAGGCAGGAAAGCAATTACAGGCATAGACAAAAAACAATGTAAACATACACCGAGTTTGATGGCATTTCGACGGAAGAAAGCTTTGCAAGGCATACACGTCGGTATGCCGAAGTTTAATCCAATTGCTGCATCATCACAAACCAAACATCGACCATGATCTTTCTTGGACATTATTGGAATATAAAATCTAGAGGGTACATGAGTTTGTAGGCTAACCTCTTCATTACGTAGTAATGACAATCAATTTATGGGTGAACATACGACAAAAAACGGTAATAATTTTCGCTACCGAAGATATGTCATGGACTTCATCTGAAAATAGAAGAAAAAGAAAGTAGATTATGGTTCGAAATGTATCGCGAACAAGGTAGTGGATTTATTTATGAAATAACTTTAGACAAGGAAGAGAAGCACAGAACATTCGAGACCAAAACCGTATTCTCTGACGCTGTATAAAAAGAAAACAGATCAAAACTCAACGACACTTATCATATTCACACATTTATTTTCGAAGCAAATACTTTTCATAAACAAAAAATATGTAACAGAGGCGTGTGGTGAAGACATTTTCTAAGAAATACGTTAGAAGACTTCGGAAGGAAGTTGTTTTAACTAGAAAAGTAGCCAATCAAATGACACACGGAAAAAATGACTCTCATCCACCCGCAGGGAAAAAGTCGTGTTTGACATATGCTATTAAAAATTATTTACCGGTAAACACTAAACGCATTTGGTATTTGACTGACATCAAACGGATAAGAAGAGATTGAGGAGACGAAATGACAAAAAAAGCTTCAATACATTACCAAGATAGATAATATGAAGTGTTGTACTGAACGTTCGCCGTCGTAAGAAGTGCAGCTGCTTCATATCCTAAGAAGCATTCTTGTTTTCTGCACTTGGCCACATACTTTTCATGAGTGGGTCCATTTGTTCGATCTCCTCGGTCATATTACTGATATAACCATCGACCATCAAATGTACATTTAATAAATACAAGGAAAATTGAACCAATCTATTGAAATATTTTATTGCATCGGGGATCGTTGATGAACGTGACAGGATGTATTTCCATAGAAGTTCAATATACACACTCTGGGCGGCAAAGATCGATAGCGATGTGTTAGAATCGTAATCGAGAATGAGATCACACCGTTTGCGAAGGTTCCCACTTGAAAAGGCAGTCACAGTAAGGAAAAGTTTTAATATCACAGGATCATACGAAAATTCTTGTATTCGTTCAATGCATCGTAAAAGTTGATCAGCTAAGCTAATACCGAAAATGTTTATAAACGATACAGCTAAATTCGTTGATACACCAGGATGAATGATAGCTTCGTAAATATTGTTAACATTTCCGAAATGATTCCGTACCAAATAGATTTTGTCACGGAGGCGGAGGGAATCAAATTCAGGCAAGCGTTTGAAGTATTCAATTAAAACTTTGTGTGATTTCGAGTATTCGTTTAAGAATGTATATAAATTCGTATGCACCACGCATGGAAACTCAGGGTACTGCGATTGTCGAGGCGCAATACATGTCAACTCGAATGTATTGTAGACATTTTGAATATTGGCTTGATCAGACGTGTAAATATGTGAATAATCTCGATGTGTCAAACGTTTTTCCGGTATAGCCACTGTCTAAAAAAACAATACAAACCATAATTTGTGTGTTCAGATTGACTTACTTGCGTCTATATATGCCGACTGACACAGCAACGCAATTTATTTGACATATTAAAGTGCAATCCTTGTTTCGTTCTCGATTAGTCTATTCGTCGGGAAAAAAGCTACTCTCAAGATTTATGTTATGTTCTTAATATTGTATGCCCTCGTAATTATACCGACAGAAAAGAAAACAAAGATGAAGTATCACATGTATAGACTGTTTTTTTCGTATATATTAATGAAAAAAAAAATGGCTCGAGCGGGGAATGGAGAAGAAAGGAAGAAAAACAGGGTAGCTTTTTCTTTTGTGTAGAATGTGAGAGAACGTTTAGAAGAAAGTAGAACATCGGCGAATGACGTAGATAAATGAGTCATAGTCCAAAGAGCAACTGTCATTATAAAAATGCACTAAAAGAGCACAGACGCGTCAGAAGACCTTCAGTTATTCCGAGAGAACATCAATTTTCACGTCAATAAACGCATCGATTCCCTTTAATTACGAAGTACGAACATACCATATCTGATTTCTTTGGTGCTACTAATTTCTCTCGTTGTTGGCGATGTTGTGCAGCTCGTTCCTTTCGAGCTTGCTTTTCAGCTTCCGAAAGAATCAATTCTTTTTTCATTCCAACATGGAAACATTTGGCTAATCGGCAACAATTGCATATCCGCCGATAAACATGATTTATTGGACAATCACCGTCATTTGGACATTTAAAATCGTAGTTCTAACGAAAACAACAGGCGAAAGCACCAAATCATTACAAGCAAATGGTGATTTCACTTACACCAAGTTTAACTGCATTTCGTCTAAAGAATGCTTTACACGCCATGCAAGTTAACACACCGAAATTAAAACCAATTGATTTATCACCGCAAACGAGGCATGGACTATTGATTCGCGATACTGACGTAGCCATCATAATCGGCGTTTGATTGTAAGAGAGGAGATATCTGTTATCTAAAAAACGAGCAGATATCTGTGGCGATTAAGATAAACACAAACGCAGACGTAAAATTTCAGGAGGAATCTATCATCGACGCCGAGTTTCCCTTCCTATCTATCTTTATTTCTCCCTTCGGTCAAATAAAAAAATACTCAAAATGATATATAGTTAGCATCAAATACTCTCGAAGGTAAATTATTTTACACGCACTTCCATATTCTAATAGATTTTTGTCAACTTCACTATCGACGGCTATTGAGACGCACAGAACGTGATGTACAGTTTGTTTTTTTGGTAACTGTTGAACGACTGCTGTACATAACGTTAAAATAGCGTAATTTATGCAGATAATATTGCCCAAGGAGAAGAAAATAGATTCTGAGTCGGATGTAGATTCTCATTGAATACTAGCTTCCGTTATAGATTTGTTGATGAATGTATGCTTGACGAAATCAAGCACCAACATCTGATCAACTAATTGAATTCATTAAATCATTACTGTAGAAAGAGAAAAAGAACGAGTTTTCTCGGATTTAAGTATCTAACGAGAATCCATTGAGAATACACGATCTGTTTATATACTCTCGATGATATCACTGCAAATATGGTTTCAAACAAATCGTTCTTGTACATGCTGGTTTTCGTCGCTCGGTACAGTAACATGGATAATAGTCAAGATCTCTTGACAGGTGTTTACTGACTGACGCAGTGATTAATCTGAAATTCAATAGAAACAATGTTTTTCTTATACAGAAGTGTATCAAATTGCAAGAACTTGTACTGAAGAGAAAGATACTATTTGAAAGAAGACGATGATAGTTCGATAGACGCATATTCAATGATGAGATTTCTTCTATCAGCGTGTAATTCGAGCTGCGTAGAATGTCTTTCATTAACTGTCAAAAAGTGAAGAATTTAACGCAAACATTTTCAGACTTGGTATCTACAAACTGAACGAGATATTCTATTTCTCGCAGTAACATCTTATTGTATAGTTGCAAACAGACCTTGTATGGTCCAGACAAGAAAAGAAAACAATTCATTCGCCATGTTCTACAAAAAAAGATGCTGCTCGAGACATTTCCCATCTTTCATTAGTTTTTTATTCGGTGGCTGTCAACTAATTATTGCTAACTCTTTCTTCCATAGTCACTCTCAAGATAGAATGGGTATCAAAGAAAACCAGATCGGTATAAATTAAATCATCAAATCAAAAACAGACTAAGTTCAGCATTGTTCATCATATTTGAAAATACATAAATTAATTGTATCATAAGACCGAAACATTACATCATAAATGAAAACAGACATGTTCTACAGCGATATTTCAGATCCTAATATATGTACTTCAATTAACCTAATTCATCGGTTAATATCTCAGTGAGAATCGGATTCCATGCATATTCATCTTCTGTTTTGATGATGTCGTCATCGGTTGAACACGATTTGTCTTCGAATAATGCATTCTGCTTCATTATTGTACGTTGGTCAGGTTCATATCACTGGTATCTTCTGTAACACGTAAGCTGTTTGGCGACGGACATATAATACATTGTAACAGTGGTACCATGTTTTTTACGTGAGTCTCCGACTTCAACATGAATCGATCGACAGCGAGACAAGTTCGTTGTAACCAAAGTACGTTTAACACGAACGAGTTGAAAAACTTGATAGTATCTTCGGTGGAAGGCAACCTCGAACGGAGATATCGCCAGAGCAGCTCAACGTAGACGCTTTCACTGGCAAAGATAGCCAGAGTATCTTCATAGATTACGCTTGTGTCGATGTTGTAAGTGTATTTATTCATGCCAAGAGAGAAGCACCAGATAATCATGATGAGCTTGAGCAGGATGGGATCGTATAAATATTCACGTTCTCGCTCAAAAGATATGCGGATCTCATGAGCGCCAATATCTCCGAATGCAGCTTGTAGTGAAAATATGAAATTTTGATGACTTGATCGTTTCAGTATGGACTCGTTCATGTGAAATAACGGCCCAAAATTGGTTCGAACTAGACGTGCTCTGTCCATGATTGGTAATTTGTTGAACTCAGGAATCAATTTGAAAAAGTCGAACAGTACTCGAACTCGTTGTTCAGAGTCATTGAAAAACGTGTCTACGGCGGTAAGTTTCAATACAGGTGCATTTGTAAGTGGCTCGAAATCCTTTTGCGAATAGACTCGCTCGTAAGTATGGAAAATATTCGTAAGGATCACTTGATCGAACGAAGACAATGCTTTGGGGCATTTTTCTAATGAATATGCATTGAGATTGGATCGAATCTAAATATAAAGAACTTATTAGATTTCTCGTCGATGTACTAGCTTATAACTGTCATATATCAAAAGAATAGAATTTCATGTGAATTTTCTATGGTAACAATCCACGTATGTAGCACACCTTCGGTTATAATTAATTGAGTTAGTTTTATCCCAAGTTTACCTTTCTTGTATGGCACATTAGTTTTCCTTCTTCTCGTTTTCTTCGATTTTGTTCCACTAAGTCTTTGCGTGCTTGCTTCTCGCTTTCTGATAATATGGAGGATCTTTGCATACCAACGCGAAAGCATTTCGCTAATCGACAGCAATTACACATTCGCCGATATTCGTGCGTTATTACGCAATCTCCATTTTGATAGCAGATGAATTCAATTTTCTAACAGATCACCAAGATAAAGAATCAAATAGAAAGAATTCCAATCAACTTACACCAAGTTTAACTGCATTTCGTCTAAAGAACGCTTTACACGCCATGCAAGTTAACACACCGAAATTACAACCAATTGATTTAGCACCACAAACATAACATGGTTCCAGTTGCCGAGATTTACTGGTTCTTGTAGACGGGTCTTCTTCCATTGTCGATGATTATTGTGGAATCTAGAACTAATTATGAAAATATGTAGAACAATGTGGAACTGGTGACATGTACTTAGTTTGTTCGGGTTACATGAGTTCAGTTGACAATAGCAAGAAATGTGCTGGCTAAGTCTTTCAAACGATCATGTGTATATAGTGTTACCAGAACTCTAACAGATGCTTTTACAATAGTCGCAGCAAGGAAACTCGTACGTCGAACTCTAATCAAAGAAGAAAATTTTATAGAACTTTTATATCTGTGTTAAGACATCACCGACTAGATAAAGTCATTAATATTAACGATCTGAAAAGGACACTCACAAAGTATCGTTTCAAGATAAATAATGTGAAGGAAAACATTAGCGAGTCTTAGTATATGTGCATCATTAAACGAGACTAGTTTAAAATTCATTAATTGACATTTCTAGGCGAGTCACGTGAGCCTTCATCGATATTCACCAATGCGACAGCACGCTTGGAAAGAATAGAAAATCATGTTTTTTGTAACAAAAAAAAGGTTTTTATAGCGAATTTCGAAGACTGCGCTCATCGACACTAATACATAGTCGTTGACTTAATTGAAGATAAAAAGCTTAACTGCGATGCTAAAACAAACTAATCTTTTCTAGAAAAGTTTTCTTTCACATTTATAACTTCATAATGCAGAAAAAAAGAACCCAGAATACGTTTCTGTGCCAATTACAAAGCATACCAACGAACGAAGGCAGATGCTTTCTCTATGTAAATACATACTATTATCCTTAGTCACATTCGTGCACAAATAAGTGAACAGTATTCGATCGGTGAGGTAGATTTCGTCTCGTGAAAGAGAACTGTGTGAATGCATCCTATCCTTGGAAAAACGACAGGTTTGTTAAGAACTGTCATTGCTGTTGAAAATAACCGGAAAAGGCGAGCAGGCCCGGTTAATTATATTTACGACTAATTTGTCAGTGACACAATTTGTATCTTTGAAGGTAATGATAACAAACAGGTACATACCAGATCGGAAGCTATCGAAAATTGAAATATCAATGATTCGACCAAATAGATATCTAGAAAAGTACAGAATATCTTTATTTATTTGTCAAATGTATCCTAAACCAACTGTCAGACAAAGATAATGAGTAAGATTTTATCTAGGTTATCGTAATACGTAATAGTCAAGGAAAAAGTAGATGTCTTTTTTTTAATATCAAAATAACGTTTTTCTATTAGTACCTGCTCTTTTTCTTCCATTATACACTAGTTTGATATTCTATGAGCTAAGGGCGCTTTTCTCAAGTTCAATACTCCAAATGTAATTACTTTATTGGTACTTGAAGAAAGTAACGACATACAATCTAAAGGGAATGACGCTATGCGGTGTCACCAGGTACATACGCACCTTTAAACAATATCAGTGCCATATATCTTGGAATATACCTTCAAACTCAATAACAACAACGTTTGACTTTCTCGTTGTTCGAAAAAAAAATTAATTAGAAAAAAATTAATCTGCATAGACTGAAAAACAACAGCTACTCGGTCAATGAGTATGAAAAAAAGGAGAACCAATAGAATACGTCGCGTACTGCAATAGTTTCTGTGATTCTGTGAAGAAAGGAGGCCGTAGAGTATGTTTCTAACCTGATTCTGCTGGGGTATTACAGGTTTTAGATCAGGAAAATGAATCGGTATATCATCGTTGTTTTTCTCTTCAGAATGTAAAGAAAAATGGCATTCCTTGATGTAGTTACGAATAATAAAAATAGATTACCGAGTTAAAGAGACAAAACTTGTATGTATTCTGAAAGAAAGAAGAAAATGAACTTCAGGAAGGGGAAGAAATCCTTCGTCGACTCGGATCGTCATTCTTTTCTATGTTAAAAGAGGATACAGACTTTCTTTCCATGTTTTATTATAAAAAAAAAGAACGAACCATGATACGACTTGAAGAAATGGGGTGAAAGGAACGAGAAAGTACAGCAAAAAAAGACAAATCAGGAGAAGTCTGTTTCAATGAAATCAAACGGCAATAGTATGAAACGTTGGTTTTCGGTGTTGTCATATGTCTCATACAGAAAAGAGACAATGCACAAGGTGATGGCATCATAGAAGAGATATTGAAGAAAACAAAAAAACATTTTCAGTCAGACAAGGAAAGAAAAAAAGCAGTAGGGAACGACAAAGTTGAATACATTAATTCCGTGTGTTGCCGTCGAGTAGGCAATAAAAGGAAAACTAGTCAGTGCAGAAAGAAAATCAACGAGATGCTGTTACGGAGAACACATACAAGCAGACATACACATTATTTGTAATTGCTCAATAGAAATCATACGTTTTATTTTGAAGAAAGAAATTCATCACCGGTTAGATATTTTCTCAAATATTCGTAAAATACAGGACATCTTTTAGCTTTTCATTTCAAGGCGTTGTTCGGACTGCACCAGTCGGGCGCAGCATCGATGATGTCGATAACGCTTTTTGTTGTTGAAGGCTTTGAAATTGAGCAATATTTAACGGTGTTGAGGATGTTTGAGATTGGATTTGTTGTTGACGTGATAATGTTTGGAAGATGTTCAATGTGGCGTACTGAAATGCAGCACGAGCCTTTTGTGTCCAATCACATAAATCGTGAATCGCATACGAGACATGATCAAACGCTAAATAGAAATCATTCTTAAGTATTCCAACAGTTAAAAAGTCTAGGCTCGGCGTGCTGAGAGAAAATTGAGAAGAGGTACATGTTATCGTATTGGTTGTTGTTAATGTGCCGGAGGGTGAGGATGTGTAAACGAGGGGTATATGCCTCGCAAATAAAATATTATAAGTGATATATTTTACTGGGAAAAGAACACGGAAGTCAGGGGATTTCTCGATAAAACTGTCAAAATCAACATACGATGTTCTTCAAAACATGAATATCTCATTACAATCCTGTCTCTCCTACTCATTGAATATTTTAATTATGAATTAACGAACTAAATATAAACTTTTAATGCTTATATATCACAACAGAATGAACCAAACCTTCTGACCAAAGATTTTAAGAGCAAAAGATCTTTTCAGATCGGGAGCGTCGATCAGTACAGATCATTAAAACAACAAGAATGAGCAATTCTCAAAAATTGAGTCTTAAAATAACAAGTTAGCGTTCATCATGCTTCAGAATTGTCAGTATGGGAAAAGTACGCGAAGATACATTTAAGCACATAGACTTATCTCATTTCACTTCGTAGACAGGGACACAGTGGCAATTTACCTGCTTGTAAGACCGAGTCTGTCATGTAATACGATTGAGGATGTTCCATGCTTAAGCGTAGTTTGTTTTCCTCCTCTTGATGAATCATTTCGGCATTTGCAATTGACTCTTTCCATGATTTGAACACAAACATTAAATCTCGTAAGCGTAATTCCGCTCTCGCTAGAGCTAACAATTCGAAAACGTGACTTGCCTAAAGAGAAAGATTATCGGGTTTGCTTCATTCTGTGTTAAAGAGCTTACCGTTATTTCAATCTTTTTGCATTTGAATATAAAATACTCAGAAACAATCAGAACACGGGAAGAACAACAATTTGAACCATTTAGGTGCGTTACAAGAGAATTGGGCGATGGAGAGTTGATATTGACATAGTTTTGGACCTAGATTTCAACAAAATATAGCAGTTTCAAAAGATGTTAATGGCTCTTCATACCCATCGTTGTTCTTGTATAAGTGCATTAAGCTCATCAAAACCTTTGTAACAGAGTTCATTCAGACTTTGCATTAATTCTTGAATATTTGCCGAATTCTTTCTTGACGAGAAGCTCACTTGTCGTTGGAGCATCGCTGGACGCATTTTATGTTGCGCATGTCCATTAGTATCGAATGATGAGAGTAATGTTGGTTGTTGCCATGGAGCTCCCGATGTGACAGGAGATGACGCAGTTGCCATTGAGGCAAGGAAATGAATATTATCATGAATGGCTTGTTGCTCTTTATCAAGATTTGAATGGGTTGGTAATGATACCGATGACGAATGAAATATAGACAAAGGTTCATCATTGAAGAGTTTATTAACACTTGATAATTGCTGTTGCTGTGTTAGTTGAATGAGTGCTTCATCAATTGATGACGATGTCGACGAAGCTGATGAAGTTGATGTGCGAGTTTTAATTGACGTTAGATAATTGTGTGAAGGAACTTTATTGATTGTTGGTTTCGTTGGAATGAAGTCTAAATGAAGTTTTTGAAAGAAATAATTCTCTCGTTTGAAGTATGTACCTGTGTGACCATTAGTTAAAAATGAATGCGTTGGTGAAAAGATACGATTAGGTGTCATTTCTCCATCTGTTATTTTTTTATCATTTTCAATTGTTGTTATTGTTATAGGACTGTCTCTTGTACTATTTGTAAGAAGAGATGCGGATAAGAAATGATTATTATTATTATTATTATTGTTATTATTGTTCAATGAAAGACTGGTGGGTATGTGCGGCTTTGCAGCGGATTTTGTTGTTGTTGTTGTTGATGATGATGCTGTCACAGATGACAGAGGTGTATTAGTAGAAAAAATCTGACTTGTTGGATTAAGAATTGAAGATGATGACGATGACGATGATGATGAGTAGGGATGAGTTAACATTGGAAAAAACATCGATTGTTCTTCGGATGTAAATGACGAATGAGATGATGACGATGAACGAACAGTTCCACTATTATTAGCAACTGGTTGCTGTTGTTGTGTATCTAATGAGAAGTGGACGTTTTGAAATGTTGAATGAAATGTGGATTTTGAAGAGAATTTCTCTGGATAAACTTACCGACGGCGGTCGATTGTAGTAACTGACTAAAATTGATTGTATCTGAAGAAGCGACTGGTGTTTGCATTCCAACATTACTAATTGACGATAATGTAGAATTGTTATTCGTTGTTTGTGAAAGAAGTAAGTCTGTCGTCGTCGTTGTTGTCGATGATGAATCGTGACGAAAATTCTCAAAGCCAGGCGGCGGACCAATGGGTTGTTGTCGTTTATCAACAATCGATGGTGACGAACAGCAAGTTAAATCAGTTAGTTGACTTAGGAAAACGTCATCGAGCGTATTATTGGGTGTTTCGTGATCAAGTGTGCTACTTAATAAAGCATTCGATGTGACTGATGGTGTAGTCGAAGTCATAGATGAAAGAAATAAAGCAGCAAAATCGGCATCACTTAAATTATTATTCGAGTTATTCACTGTTGTCATATCAGATGAGTTCACTTCTAATGTAAATGAAGAAAAATAATTTGATAATGAATCATCGACTGTGGACGGATATTGATGATCAGATGCAGATGATAATAATAATAATGATGCACTATCAGTTACTAAAATAGTAAATCAAATTTGTTTATGTAAACCGAGCAAAGAATTTCTCAAGTCGTTGTGTGGAGTTTGAGATGATTTATAAAGTATTTAGGAATACGCTTACTTGCTCAAAATGTCTGTCTACGAAATTTCAAGGTTTACGACTATTAGATTTCACCTTGAAGAGAACGCAAGTGTTATATTAAAGGAAAGAAACGAAAATCGCTAATCTCACATGTGTGTATAGCTTCGAATGCGCGACGTCTGTCTCATTCAGTGGGGTTGGTGACGCGAAAATATTATTGACAAAAAGAATCTGATCAATCTGGAGAAAGCTAACGAAAGGTAATGCGTCAGTGGGAAATTTATTTGAGATTATGTTGTATATCATTCGATTATGATGAAATTCTTTACTTTCTATCGGTCACAGTATACTTTGTAAAAGAGTTTCTGTCGTCCTTTCTCCTCAATCAATTCATTCAAGTATAAACGTATTCAAAAACAAAATCTGCCTCGAACAATTTTATTTGTTTTCATTAGTAAACCGAAAAAAATTCAGTTTCTATGATAATCATAACAACCAATAGGAGTAGCAAAGTAAACAGGGCAAATTAGCGACATCTAGCGTGCGTCGTCTACTATTCTTACCATGATTTCCTGTTACAATTGCTGTTGAATTTTGTTCGCGTATGGGCATGAAATAATATTGATGTGTTTGATTACTGGCGAGACTAAACAAGAAAACAAGTATAGAAATTTCTATTCTGCGTCATTATGCCAAAGAAAACATTCGTCAATCAAACGAACACGCACGTGTAGTATTATACAACAGAAATCGAGAGAAGGAAACGAGTTAGCATGCAAGCGGAGGATGTTACGAGGGCGATTTCGTGGTTTTTTTTGTTGTACCTTGGTTGTTTTTTGTAGGAAAGTTTGCCTTTGGATTGTTCACTTAATGAATGGTTGTATTTTTTGTCCAAGATCAAGTTGACCTCGTTATCACAGTGAGCGTCTTCGTTCAAACTAATAGAAAGTTAAATCGTTTTCGAACAGCCAAGTGATTTCCTTAGGAAACGAAAAAGCAGAAAAACGAGTTGAGCTTTACATACTGTGGAGAGAATGAATTCGATGGACGATGTATCGTATTGCAATTGTATGTCGAGTATTGAAAGTTCATTGGATCCGACAGTACGCGTCTAAAACGAAAAAATGAAATTGAAGAAAAAAATTGATTTTCATTCGTGGAATATGACACCTACATTGGTCACACTTATCTATCCGTGTGCATGACAAATGTTTGAGTTATCAAGAAGAAGAAGAAGAAGAAGTCAAACTAAAATGTTTACCGTTTTTTATTTTCATGCAATTGCTTATCTCATTTAATCATAAATAGGCACATTTTGACAGCATCGTCGCGTAAAAAGTCGTCTAGAAGGCGTTATCTGAATTGCTACAATGGAAATCGACATGAACGTAGCATTGGAAAGAGTGTAGAATAATTAAGTAAACTAACTTATGACGTCGTTTGACTTGCCCCTTTTGATGTTTGTTTTCTTTTCTGTTTTGTTGTTGTTTTTCTTACGATTAAAAGTAATCTGGCGACTTCTGCTGCTCTCTACCTAACGGATAAATCCAGGATAGATGATGATAACGAGAGATTTGTTGAGCAGCGACAACAACGCACGACACAAAAGAGGATCGAATGTAGAAAGTTGATGGCGCATCAACAAGCACAATTCATGAGGAAAACAACACTCGTTGTCATATAGATGACGCTATCCGATGGTAGCACTCTTACTATTTTCATTGAGAGGCAAAGTCTAAACTAGACTTTTCAATCCGTGTATATCGATCAGAAATTTATACGATCAATTACTACTCGAGTCATGAGCAAATGTAATTATTTGCCGATCCAGCAAGAACATGGTATTCTACAGTCTACGCAAATTTGTCCACACTTGGATTATTTTCGCTCGCGTCTGTGCTCTTTGACTCACTTGTATACATTGTTGAACACAGTTGTCACGAACTCTATTTCCTCTAGGTAATGACTATTTAATAGAGATTTCTGAGTGTCATAACCTTTTTCGATGTAATACCAAAATGCATTGTTCATACAAGTGTAATCAAGTCCGGGTCAATAAACTGTTGACATGAATTCATATTTTAACCTAGATCCCGTTCGTGTAAATAGCCTCCATAATATTCATCGCACTGGTTAACATGTCAGATGTCTGAGAGAGAAATGTTGAGCTTGCAAGAAGCTTTATGTTAAAGAGGAATTTGAAAGGAATGATCAGTTGTCCATTGATCTACTAACATTCACCACAGGAGTTATTCTCAATTAATTTCATCAAGTCATCCTCTGTCGCGAACAAAGATGGTTGATTTGTTTTTGATGGATGGAACATTCTGTTCACTTGGTGATCAAGGTCATGCCGCTATTATTCTCTAATATGAATACATAAAGTTACATTTCGCTAACCAGAGTAGTTCTATGTTTTCCTTTATCTTTTACATTTCTTATCTTGTCTCACACTCGACTTGCCGCATCACATCATTAGAAATGAACAACTAATTACTTTGTAATAGTCAAAAAGAAAAGATGCAAAATGCGAGTTTCGTTCAGAAGAACAGTAATAGTTCTCATGAGGTCAATCTGTTCATCATCATGATCATGATCATCGGATGACGTAGTCGTTTATCGATCTGCGTGCTGTTTTTGATTCTAATCAAATTTTGTTCTCTACCTCGTCTCAATGGAATTGCATGACCATTATCTTCTTTGCAGAACATTGATCGACGATAAGTATATATCGCCGTTGGGCACTAATGAACTGAACATAACGGCAATGTTTATATTTCTGACGAGAATCTTGCTAATTGCACAGCATGATTAGTTCACATGTGAATTTCGGTGACGAAAAGAACAATTTCATTTTTATTGCATTTGAGAAATATGTGATTGTAAAAGACGAACATTCTGTTTCGTAAATCGAGTGCGAAAAGTTTTATTGATTGATACCTATGGTATATGATGAATTAGTTATGTCGATAATGATTCATTTATTGTAAAAACAGTATGGTTATCTTCCTTAACGGAAGTCAATTCATTCATTGATTCGCATTGTTAAACAGCATGATTAATCGACTTAATTTTAATCTATTCTCTCACTTGTACTTGATTTTTCTTTGAAAGAGAGGTATGTGGTTTTGACACATCTGTTTCACCCTCTCTCACGGTTTTGTATTGGATTCATCCTTTATCTTATTTTGCTCTATTCATATAAGACAATAGACGTGTCAAGTCTAATGAACTGTTGGGTTTATTCTCATCGTCGTTGTCGATAGTTCATGTTCATCGAGGCGCATCAATTCTGTTGTGTTTAGGTGTCGAGAGAAGAAGATCAAACAAGAACAAAAAAAAGAGATAAATGCGATTTTGTCACTCGATCATTCGCGTGTGTACACTATTAGGACTGATGCTAGCCCTAATGGTGTCGTGTTCAATTGCCTTCCGGTCAAAGTCGATTCTACAGATGGTGTCGTGTTGTGTAGAAATTTATCTTCGAAACTAAAAAAGAAAGTTTGACGAGAGATGAAAGAGAAAATAGATAGTGATGAAAAACACACGTCGATGTCCTGTCGAGAGAAACAAGCGAGCCTCAGTGTTCAAAGTGAAATTGAAACGTGGACATGTTTGATCTCATCAAACGAAGAATAGAAAGAGGATCTTGAAAGAATAGCTGAATGTATAACTGTTCACAAACCTGGCAGTGTATCCTTGATGATCAGCATAGTTGATACGGATGAGAAAAAAAACTAGAAAGAATAGCATCGATTAACGGTCTCGTCTTCTTCTTAATAATGACATTGTTGATACATTGAGATTACAAATCTGAGAAGATCTATCAAATACTGTCGGAAGAGTCAAAGTAGTTCTTAGATATATATTCGGCCAATGATTGGACATAGACGAAAATTTTGCTTTAAATTTTATTTAAATAGATACCAAGTTTTTCTCCATACATGTTCATATTTCGATTAGTTTGCCCGCCCTTGTCATGTCTTTTACATTTTGATACACTGTCACTAATGAACTCAACCATAACGGTGTCCATATGGTGATGTTTACTTAGGTGATTCAATGAAGAAAAAAAAAGTAATGTCGTTATAAGGAGGAGAAGACGAAGAAGATGGTATGTCCTCGGGCAACAAAAAATAGATAGATCGATCGATAGATATTTGTGTTACTAGTGATGATCGTTTAGCGGGTGTACATATGTAGAGAGAATGAGGCATGAAGTGTCCAACAGCTTGCATATTTAATGATCGTTATCATTCTTCATGTTCTTATGCTGTCTCTGGAATCGAAATAATCGAGAGCTAGAGGCGAGATCTGTCGGTATTGTATTAAACGAAATAAGATCAAAAAATCGAACGAAAGAAAGAATGAGAAACAAGATTTCGATATAAGTGAACAAACACAATATACAACATGCGCAGAAGAAAAAACTTTCTATAGAATAAGAAAAGTCAAAGAAAAAAAAATAAAAAAATAAGACAGAATTTTTTTTTCTTAAGGAATACTCGTCAAAACTAATCCCGATTTCAAAAGTACGGAGGATAAACACCAACATGATGCTGTTGACTTGATATATACGATGATTTGATTGGAGATGAAGAATTTGATGATGAAGATGACGATGACATACCTGTTGCTGTTCCTGTGGTGGTTGTGGCTGTTCCGATCGATGAGAGCATGGACGAGGAAAACAACGGGTGAAGTGCGGCAGCAGCTGCATATGCTGCTTGTTGAGATTGATGATAAGCTGATGATGATGGTGAAGATGATGTTGATGCACCGTTAACTGCCATGGCTGCAGCGGCTGCTTGAGCATGATAACCATTTAATGCTGGTTCATTCTTCATTAAAAGTCCATAAGAGAATGGATCTTTATCTTTCATACTGCATGATGAACTGCTAGCAAGTAAACTTCCATTACCACTGCGTTTCGTGTTTGGTTTGCGATTCCGTGTTTGAATGTTCTCTTTTTTCAGTGTTATTGGACGATTAACCTATCAAATGAAAAGATCTATTTTAGAAACGAAGAGTCAAGAATAACAAACATTTTGTTTATCTATTAACGTCTAATTTTGTTATTACGTCAGATTAGAAAAACAGATACTTTTTTCAACACTTTCTTTCTCTCTCTCTCTCTCGGTCTCTCCCTCGACTAACGGTTCATCATTTTCAATTGAAAATGATAATGAAGCTAATAATGATGATGATGATGTATGTGGACAATGTCTCGAATTGTGTTCTTTGTCTCTAATCGAATTTGTCACGTATTTAATACAATGAATGAATTCAAACGCGTTTGTGCGATTGATCATGATAATTATGTATACGTTCATGGACATAGCACAACTCTATCCTTAAATCAGTTCATCATGTACATTTGACACATTTTTAACTTTAAGAATTTCACCCGTAAAACCGACTTGCTCTTCTTGTCACTTACCTTATGCAATTTATAGTATAAGCCACATGCATTACAAACACTTTCGCCATGGCCATTTCGTCGCCATAATGTCGTAGTACATGTATTGCAATTTGAACAATGAACACCTGTTTTCTTAACTGTTGACTAAAAAATAGAAGAAAAAAGACAATGAACAACAGAGAAAATCTAGTTTCTTACTAAACGCCGTTTAGGCTTAATCAATGGTCGATTGTGTCCATTCATTTTATGATAAAGACCACAAGCATTGCACAGATAATTACCATTACCATCACGTCTCCAAAGTGGTGTAGCTTTAGCACCACAGTTCACACATTCGCGACCTTCAGCTAAAATATAGAAGATAGTGATGATAATCAACTGTTCTGGATGACACACATGAAGTTAACAAACCTTGACTAGGTTTCTTTTTTGAGTTCGAATTAGAAAGCTTTCCTGTTGAATCTGTTGGTGATTTCATAGTTGACCAAAACATCGATGGATCTTTCAGAACGTGACCCCAGTTATGATGATGATGATAGGCTGCTGCCGCAGCAGCTGCACTTGATGTTGGTGATGTTGTATTCTGGAAAAGATTCTGATGTGGATGATGCTGTGAATGGTAAATTTTATTATTGAGTAATTCTTGTTGTTGTTGCTGCTGCTGTTGTTGTTGTTGTTTACTGGATGCATCGAGTAATGTATCATGTGGAAGATCTTTCGGTGGTGTTGGAGGGTAGTATGGCTGACCGAACGTTGCCACAGCCACCGACGATGATGTTGCATTTGTTGATGATATGAAATTTGTATGAGCATGTGGTGGTTGGGGATGAGTAGACGAATAAGGAAACGTCGATGATGTTTGAGTTGGCCAATTACCGACTGAATATTTACTTGATTCCATCCAGGGAAGTGATGCAAGCGCTGAAAAAAGTAAGAATATTCTTCTTTAGATTTTTATACAATTTCTAAACTTACGCGCTCCTCCATACGATCGATAATAGTCCACACCTGTTGAATAACATTCAGAAGGATAGTTATTCCAAGCATTACGGTGTGCATTATTGTTATTGTTATTCGTATTGTTGCTATTAGATGATGAAGATGATGATGTTGGCGATTCAAATGTATCCATGATATCTGCAAATTTCTATAAACAAATACGCATAAGCATCTAGTTTAATTGTCTAATCGAGTAAAGAATGTAGGAGTAAAGATGAAACGGATTTAGCGCAATTTTTCATATAACCGCATATATCTATCTTATTTCTATTCTCGTCACTCGTATATCTTGTCTTCGATAGGATCTTTTGTTGAAACTACAAGTTACACGCGTCGACCGCTAGCACAGATAACAACAGCAGTTTTTCTTCGATGTAGAAGTAAAACGAGAAACGAAGAGAAATATGGCGAAAGAGCAAGATTCTTTTGACAAGATATGCGTCTATCTAGATTTTTTTCTATTACCTATTCCTCTCTCTCTTTTCTAGCTTGACGTACAAGGCAATTTGTGTTTCGTTGTATATATGTATGAGTAGGTTTCCTTCTTTCTCTCTCTCTCCCTTTCTACTGTAATGTAATGGCTAATCAGATAAATGCATTCATGCGAGAGACACAGAGAGAGAGAGAGAGAGCGGGAGAGAAAAGAAGATGTTCGCGCTAGTCAAACGAACACTATTGACTTTTCTCTCTCTTTTTTTTCTCTTCTTTTCCTGTCTTGGATGCGTGTGAAGTGCTATATGATATTAGATTGGTTGACTGAGTGCAGATACATTTTTGTCCAATCGTAGAGAAGAAAGATGTTATCTGATTGGAAAAAAGAAAAGAAGAAAAACAACGATAATTATTCTGACTGCTATTATTTCTTCACTGTATTCAATCAAGTGGATATTTGCGAAAAATGAATATTAATTAATATTCAATATTTCTAACAAGATCATTTTGATGTAGATAAGAATACGAAAAAAATGTATCTTTATTGATTCATCAAAGTCATCTATTCACAAAGCGGCATTTTCATGTAGCAAATTCATATTTATTCAAAAGCATTCAGTTCGATGAATGATGCGACAGTTCATAGTTAAAAGACATTTTCTTTTTTGCACATATCTATCTGGGTGACCACCAGCCGAGAGCATTTTTGCGAGTGAATAGATCGATATTGAACAACAGAGAACATTTCCCGATCTAAAAATTCTTTTCGAATGAATTTGCAGATCGAGCAAAATTGGAAATTATTTCGTTGATATTCGATGTATTTTCTTTTTTGCTTGATGGCGACGTTAATGTTTATTTATCTACATATACGATCAATCATTCAATTAATCGAGAACGTAAAAAGGGAAGGAGAGACGAGTGTGACATACCATACAGGTAAACTATGAATATATCTACGTATATGTATAAATGAAATCATTTTTCGAGACGACGAATGAAAGTGCGAGTCCATTAGATGACAGTTAATCGACAGGCGAACGCAACTGTCACCCATGAACGAGTCCATAAATCCTACGCAATGATGATTCATTTGTCGTCAGAATGAAAAAAATCGCTTGTAGGAAAATTTCTCACTTCACGTACGGAGATTTTCTTTTTGTTTTTGACTTATTATTCGTCATGAATTCTTCTTCTCATCCAATAAAATGATAATTAGATCATTTGCAAAAGAAAGAAAATGGCTTCTCACAATACAAATGAAGCATAGAGGTATGCCCGAGGGTGGGCGTTACCGACTCTAACACATTTTTCTTGTCTGTGTTGGATACGTATTGATGGCGTACTAAAGAAATGAACTAAGGAAAAGAATGGCAGATAAATCGATACTTGTGGGTGTTACATCCATGCAGATAGATAGACACTTGGCGGAATAACAACAGCGACAACAAACCGTTCGCTCTTGCCAATTATATCTTCTTGTTATTCTACTTTGACGCAAACTGAACAGATAATAAACTGACACGATGCAAATGAAACATCTGTGTTGATGAATAAAACAAATGTTTTATTTCTAGAAAAGACAACACAATCGTCCTCAAATCTTCTTTTCAGTTCATCTATTCCACGCTTTCATCGATGAGATCGAGCCAAAGACAAGTAAGCCATTTATACACTCTCCGATCATTTCTCATATGAATTAATCATCAAAACTGTTCATTTCTCTGACAAGATCCTCCCATCTATTTCTTAACTCCAAATGCATATTTGACATAAAGAGAGATCGATGAGTGTCTCTATCTCATTCGCTTGTAATTATGGTTAAACGAACGTGAAAGTATCGTTTTTTTTTGCCGACAAACATATCTCCTCCTCATCCTCCAACCAACAGCTGACTAACATTTATCAGTCGACATTTCGATTCCTATCTTGATAGACTGATTGTCATAGAAACAGACTCAAGATACACGCATGCCGAAAAGAAGGAAACCCGCCGCGAGTACATTTCATAATAATAGAGTCTCGCTTTCATCAGATTCGTTTCAATGAATTTATCATCGACTCCGCCTATTGAAAATATAATTATTCGATGGTAGTCATTAGACATGTATATATATATTCAAATGAATGATAATGTAGAGAGAAGGAAGAGATAATTATTTATTTAAGTTGAACACAAATCATTAGACAATTATTTCTTCTTCTTTTTACTCTCTTTTCCACCCGATTTTTCCTTTTTACTATCTTTCTTGTGATGATCACCACCGCTAGAAGAAAACAAACAATAAATAACTGATGTCGCCAGACAAATTTGATCGCTCTACGTACTCTTTTTCTTCTTTCTTATCTTTTTTTCTAGAAAATCAAACATCAAACACATTCTTTCATAGATCAAATGATAAACTTACGATTCATGTGTTTTCTCCTTTTTCTTCTTCTCTTCACTCTCCTTCGATTCAACATCTTTGGATGCTTTTGCTGCATGCGGTGGGTTCAATGTAGCCATAGGTTTAGCTGATTCGTCAAAAGATTTCTTCTCTTCAGTTGTTAAGTGATGATCGATTATTTGTGGTCTAATTGAACAAAAAGCATAAAACAAAGAGAATTTCAGTAGAAAACTACTTACGGTACTTTGATTTGTGGCGATGGAACTAGAACAGATCCTGATATAGAAGAAACAGTCCATCCGATACACGAAAAACATACCATATTCTGAATTTTGAAAAGGTTCCAGATGACCATTGGGAGCTGACGATGATTTGTGAGACACAGTTATTGCTGTTGTTGATGATGGCTGTAAAGGATATCATTATATGATTTGATTGAGAAGTTTTCGACTTACTTGCGGTTCATTTTGTGTGGGTGGGTGCGATTTGTCTGTTTGATATTGATTACCTTTCTGCAATAACATGACAAGTTGTCCTTCAGTTAGACCTTGCGGTAATTGCGATGGTGAATAAATATGACGACGAACGTTAATTGCATTAGAACGATCAATAGGTATATTGTTTGGAAAGAATTGTCCTGATTGCGGAGCATCTCGAATGATTAGAACGAATTAACAAAGGAAAAATTCAGATCTTGCTCATTCTATTTACATGGCTGTCGATCTCGTTCGTTTCCGTAATAGTTAGGAAACGCTTGAGATAAATTATCAGTTGGATAGTTTTGTAATTGTCCGTCGTACGGATTTTGATACTGAGGACTATAATCATTATATTGATTTAAAGGTCGATAATTACTATAGTGTGAAGGAATATTCTATAATTAAATGACACTTGTAAAAAGTGAAAAAAACAACGACGACGACGACGGAAATCATACTCGTGGTGAATGTCCATAAGGCGCTAGACCATTTTTTATATCACGCATCATTGATACATCCTCATAATCAATTAAAACCATGTTATTATCTACTCGTTTGTCTGATATGCGATTCAGTGTGTTGGTTGGTACATAAACCTAAAACGATGTCATCGATTTGATCTGCCGTCAATATTACTGACATACTTCATAGACTGATAGTTCATCATCGCTGTGCTGCATGATATGGTAATCGTTTTGATATTTCACAGGTCGGGGATATTGATAATTATCAATAGTATCATCTCGATAGTATCTCGAACGATCTGTTCTTGTTGAAGAATCTCTTTCTTGCTGATAACCTCTCCGCCGGTAGATGTTTTCATATTCTCTCTCTTGTCTCGAATTGAGATATTCGTCATTTTTGAGATCGTAGATTTGCTCGTCATTTCGATCGTCCAAGTAACTTCTCGATTGCTGCTGAGATTTGCTTTGAGTTTTATTGCATAATTCTCGCATGAGATTATTTTCCAATCGACGAATTTCTGGTATTTCAACATCATCATCATCGCGATTGATACATAATAGAAAACAATTGTCCAGGTAGCGATCACGATGATTCGGTGATCGAACAGGATCACTTGATGGTTGAGGTGAGAGACCTTGACGATCTCGAAACACCATGGCAAAATGTCGGTCACAGAAGGTCAAAAAATGAAAATTTGTATTACTACTATTCGATCGAATATTAAGTAAAACAAAAATAGGTAAAAGTTCGCGCGCGCGACTTCTGTGCAGATTTCAATATAGTTTCTGGCTTTTGTCAAAACGAGCATTGGACCTATTTAAGTACAGATCTAATGAGATTTCTATCCAGTCAAAGAAGATGTTGTACATATCGTCTGCGACATTGTTATGACACGTGATAGAGCGGAAGTAATGCTGCGACGCTTGGATGTGTTCTGTTAATAATAGATACAAGAGTTGGAAAATTGGATAATTACTATCGGAGACTTTCACAGACAATTAAATCTTTCTCAATGGCTATTTTTAATAGAACTTTTACAATTGTAATTTGTCGGCGTATGCAATTATACGATTTGATTATCTAAAGAAAAGTCTTCAATAAAGGAAGATCGACAGGTTTTTTGTACCCGTAAGTAACTTTTCTTCTTTAAAACTGAGTTATTAGGATTATCTGTTTAACATATGCGTACTGTGACATCTTGTTTAGTTTGTCATTTTTGACAAAGCCTTTATTGTCTGGAACACGCATGCCTTTTCTGTTACAGTTTTCATTCCTACAGCATGTATCTGTGTGTGGGTAGTTTTCTGGTAGTAAAATGAGTGGGCGAAAATGCCAGAAAGATTAGAACAACGAACTGCTGACTAATCATTTAGTATTAATTGGATCCGCTCGTCGAGAAAGAACGAGAAAGTAAAAAGATCTTATTTATATAAATAGATCTATTCTTTCTCTACTATCGAGTTGTATTCACATAGCGAGCTTAATACAAAGTAGGAAACATATGGCACCAAATCATCGATTGTTTGCTGTTAGCTGTATAACTCTTCTTCTGATTTTGATCATTTCGAAATGTCATGCATCATATCCACTGTTTGGTGAAATACCAGGTAGATTTCGATTTGATCGAGCGTTTCATGCCAATCGGCGATTATTTTAGTTCCTCAACGTCCTGCAAAGTTTGCGACGAAGAATGATGTAGATCGTTATGTTAATCGAGTAAGTCGACAGACATCTCTCGTGCTGAATTCATCATTGATTCGAATCTAGATGAAACAATATTATGAAACAATGAAGCATTTAAGATATTGGCGTCGAGCTATCGATCAATCGGATGAAGAATACGATGACTCGTTAGAAGGTATCTTTTTGGAATATGAACAAAAGTGATATACATGGTTCTGATTCTAGATATAATTCAACAATACAAAAATCTAAATTATAAACGCTAATTATCATGTCAAATCACGAACTATCACAAGAAAACTTTTCTTTTTCATAAAAGTCTCCGCCGTGTGTGTCATACCATCTGTGGAAATCTATGTTTTCTTTTGTTTAATACATATTCCTAGTCATGATGATATTCTACACTCGCTACTGATTATGTTGATACATGTATTGCCAGGCCAACAGTGTGACAAAGTAATTGCTATTATTTGATCTGCTAATTTTATCAGAGATATCCAGTTTACGCGATACATTTAATGCAAAACGAGAATATATGTAAGATAACACTGTAGGACTGACTAACGTCAAGCTGTAGGTAATGTACTATGCAAATTCATTGAGTATTCATGAATGTTACCATATGGTGGCTGTTGCCGCTCGCCAAATTTCTGTCGGGTTTACTCGTTACTGTTTTTCACGCTTTGTTTAACATTCAAATCAACTTGTCATAGTTTGTGTAAAAAGTACAATGTCACTCTAAACTAATACACTTGAGTGCTGACAAAGACTTTGTTGCTGTCTGTTTAAACGAGTACTGGAAACCAAACTTCTATTTCCATTATTAGTGTTTCTCTTCATTATATACGTTTGTTAAACTGATAAGATTTTGTTTACTTTGATCTCGAATGATTTTCCTCGCTCTGACATGTTGTCAATCTATTCCCAATACTCCAAATAGATCTATCAATCAATGTCAGCAGTACGTTCTGTGAAGATTTATGCACTCATGTCAACAGAATTACTTGTTTATTTTCTCGCATTTGATTGAAAGATGAAATTTATCAATATTGTCGTTTGAAAATAATTCTTTATATTTTTGAAGAAACAAAGCAGTCCTGTACAAAGGAACGAACAAAGAAAAAAAAGAAAAACCACACGAAAGATGTATATTAAATCTATACTTAGAATACTAGATACATTATCTGATAATGGGCAACTCACAATCGAACACAGCATACATATACACACATGCACAAGACGTTGATAATAAAATAGAGACATCTTTTGTGGCTAATGAATAAAACAATCATGTACTGTTGTCAACGAAGAAGAGAGAAAAAGGCAATGAAGAGATATCACATGAAAATAAACTAATCGTCGATTCGTCATCGGATGTAAATCACAGGATTTCTAAATCAGGCGTACATGAACTCTCTTCCGAAGTCATCGAAAGCGGATCAGGTGATGCCATTGGTGCACGACCTTCGCGTGATAATCGACGATATCCTGAAAGACAAAGAATGTTATCAATTGGAAAGAACAGAATTCAATTTGAATTGTTATCTTCTCTCATGCATTTGTTTTCTCGTATCTTGGTAAAAACTTACATCTGGTCGAGAATTACGAAGAACACAATATCGATGAACGACGGTAAAATACTGAAGGTATATGGAAGAATGTGCATATATGTGTGAACATGTGTAAACATTTAATGATATATAGTGCAACATGTATGATATGTGTATGTGTAAACAAGATAGGGTTACAATATAGTTTCCAAAATAGCCACTTCACCTGTACCCGTCGTTGACGTCGACGTTGGAGTTAGATTTATTGACGTCGATGCTGTTGTTGCTAGTGCTGGTGTCGACGCTAGTAGTGGTGGTGGTGGTGGTGTTGCTACTGCTGGTGGTATCGTAGTAGTATTAGTAATGGTAGCAGGTGGCGATGGAGCATGTTGATGCATAGTCTGCAATATAGATGAATGTATTTGTTGTAAGCTTTGTCTGACCATTCGTGCTGTGGGACTATTCGGATGATTTGTTCGTGTTCCTGGTGATTCGATAGGTATAATCGTTGCAGGTGCTGACGTTCTATTATCAGTATCCGTATTAGGGAAGATTTGGTTTGAACTTGAACGTATTGGTTGAGATTTGATATGACTAGATGATGGTGATTTCGGTGTCAATGTTAACGTTGGTGATGATGATATTGGACGAGGTGAATCAACTCTTTCATGTGCTAAACAGGTTTCTTCGATTAAACTTGTCAAAATAGTCGAATCAATCAGTTTTTCGATGGTTGATGTATGTGGCAATGAATTCGGTGGATCATTGGATGAATCACTTCGTGGTTTGATTGCTGTAATAGCACGTTTGAACTGTGTTGCTAGTTTATGTTTCGGATTCGAAAGTATCGATGAACTCGATTCATGTTGTTCATTATGGTCAGATCTCGTTCGATCTTTCGGTATCAGAGGATTCGCATCTCGAATAGCTGTTGACACGTTGAACATATTTTTATTGATAGTCTTTTCTAGATTCATTTTGCCTCGTTTTCGACCCACTCGAGCTGCTATGAAAGAAAAAATCAACAGATAAATTCGGAAAGTCTTTTGAAAATATCTGAATAAAAAGAGAGGATGCATTTCAAACGCATGCAATCACAGCAAAGTATGCAAAACAAAACCGCTTTATTATTTCTCACATCTTGTTAATGCCTCAACTGGTTCAAATTTGCCTGTGTCTAAGTTTACCAATGATGTTTCAATAGTCGAATGAAAAAAAAATCGAATGATTAGTTCAACAAACCTGGATTTTTCTTCAATGATTGCACTTTGAATCCATTAATACTCAAGATTTCCAATAGTTCAAATCTAAAAGCAAGATTCATTGCTCAGAATGAAGAACACGCGCGAGATTCTTACCGGAATGCAGAAACATCTTGTTTGATTTCATTCAAATCGTCTTCTGTCACACCTTCGGTTTGATCTTTCTGTTGACGTTTCATTATGTATCGTTTAACTAATTCACGTATGACTGTTTGATATTTAACTTCTCGTTCGTTGATTTTCAGGAGAATTTTCTAGAAGAAATACCATCGTTGTTTGGTTTTACAAACTTCACGAGGAGTCTTATACCTTAATGCTCTGCCATCGATTCCTTAGATGCGTTTTTGAACAACCACATACTCGACGATACAAGTATCGACAAGCATAACAAATGGATTTGGGACTTGGAACAATATTGAACGGCGGCGGCAAGGTTCCACCATCTTCAAAATAACTTGTCCAAAGTTTTGCTCTATAATCAAAGCAGAAGTCGAGTTCTATTTAAAAAGATTATCCGAATTCTTACCTCGCAAATTTCCATTCGGTTTCTGTTGAATTCTAAATAGACATACAAAAAAAACATTTTGAGATGGTCGCATTACAAGTATTTGCTTACAGCTATGTACTGATACGAGTTACTCATCATAGCAATAAGCATGTTAAGAAGAACGATAATCATAATTGATGAGTAAACACCGTACATCAGTAAGCCAATAAACATAGTAAATGTGTGTTTTTTATATATTTGAAATGCTTGCAGATCGATCAAACCAAACGTACCCCAAAAAAGTGTTTGCAAGGATTCGAAGAGACTGTGGAAAGAAACGACAAATGTTGAGTAGAAATGAAAATCATCTAACGTTCGTACTTAGAAAAATGTTTGTGTATATCTTTAGCACAAATATCATCAGAACCTGCGTCATCTTTTTCACATTCGCTCTTTTTCATTCGTGCGTAGTACCAGAATAATTGATTGAGACCGCAGGCAAAAGCAAATGCTACCAACATGATTAAGACACTGAATTTCAATATGTCGTGTACCATTCGACCTAGGGAGATTTGCAATGGCCCTAAATGCGGATTGATCGTGAAGATGTAGACAAGTTTAAGTGAACTGAAGATATTTGCTGCGGCAAAAATTCCTTCAGATATTAGGGTAGGATCCCATGCATTCCAATCAACTCGCCGAACATTGTGACCAGTTGAGATTCCGATAGACTCGGATGTGAGATTATGACGGACATGAGAGGAATGAGCACCTGCTGTTGTATTTGTTCCGAGAGGTACTGTTAGTTTTCGTTGTAATTCGTTCTCTTCTCGATTTATCTAAATAAAGCGAAAAGAAAACTCTTTCTATCCGATGATACTTCATCTTAATTCGATTAGGTTATCATTTCTTATCAAACGGTTCTCTTTCTTCTTTGCTCCTTGCGGCATTCCTATTTCGTTCGAGCTTACTTTAATAAAAGCCATAACACGAAGAGCGATCGTTGCAACATAAAGACAATTCGTGATCCAATCAAGTAAATTCCACGTATCCGCCTAAAACAAATCTTCAATCAAATCATTCGCTAATCATTTCGTCGTTTTCTACCATATATTGATGTAAACCTTCTTGATATAACTGTTTTATTTCCGCCCAGATGAATCCAGCTACGTAGAGCATAATCTACAAAGACGAAAACATTGTATCGTACAGAAGAAACAAAATAAACATCTTTGTAATTGGCTTACTGCTAATTCCACAGGATTAGGTGGTGGACCACGTCTTTCATTAATTTCAACTTCAGTACCTGATAGTAACTTTCCGAACTCAATTCGAAGAGAAACAACAAACAGTAAAACTAGAGACAAAGAGGAAAAGTTATGTTGTTTAGTAGAAAACGAATGTTCATACTTAGGAAGAAAATGTAGGAAACCGAATGACAGATGAATTTTATGAATGGTTGTCGCATGATTCGACCGATACTACTTCGTGGCATTATTAGATAAGCGATAGACAAGACAGGAAAAAGTAAACCAACAAAAGCTGTGATGAGAATTTTGATCACCGAATGACGACGTCGAAAGCCTGGTAGACCTTCGTACCACAGAGAGGCAAGTAATTGCTGACAATGTGAATGTGAAACAAACTTGAAAAGAAAAACGTACGTTAGTTATCTGAGAGTTGATCTATATGTATCTGATGTACCTTCTTCTGCTTATAACGTATAGCTAATTTTAGTCTGGCTAACGTCATTTTCTCGGTTGTTTCAGATAGCACCGGCGGATTTTCTGCATCGTAATTTAGAATAATTTCCAATTCCTTTGATGAACGTGTTTCAGCTAGTAGTGCTGCACTATAATCTTGACATTGCTGAGCTAATTGTTCGTACTCTTGTTTAAATTCGTTTTCAATTCGTGATAATCGTTTCAGTTCGCGATTTAAATCAAAGGCTGTCATGATTGGATCCCGACTTGATAAGGAGATGTAGCATGGTGATGACAAGGCTTTATATGCGTTGATACGTGATCGGGAATGTCTTAGACTGTCTTCTTTATTGTAGACAAGACATTTTTCACAATCACAACGAACATCGTGAGGTTCAGTTACTTTTTCACCTAGAAAAACGAAATAGGCAGTCAAATGAAAGCTTCGTTCTGTATCAGTAAGATTGGAATTACAAGAAAAATCATTTCTCTACCTCTTTCCAGCAAAATCTTGATAATTTCATAATTGTCTCGATGTGCAGCCAGGATAATTGGTGTAATATCGGGTGTATATGAACGAGATGTACTCAAATTAAGTTGATCATTCACCTAAAAATATTCATCCAAAGATCAATAGAAATCCGGATGAAATCATCTTTGTAGAAATTTGCCTATCTATTTTTCAAGTGTTCACGCACACACAAAATATAAACAATCAATCTTTATCCACAGAGTTTACTGAAGAATCATCTACATATACATAGTGAGTGCTAACTAGAAGCCTCTTTTCTCTCAGATTGATTTATCAATAAGAATATAATTATTTCGCATGAAATGAACATTTCAAAGATCAACTGGCTATCTGCTACTGAATTGTTGATGGTTATTGTGGAAAATCTCTCGTAGAAATCTTATGTGAATGACAATCAAAAGAAACAACAAATATTAGAAGAACACTGGTGATTCGTGGAAATATGAAAGTGTACGTTTGTGCGAAAAAAAAGATGAGCAAGTGCAAAATGTGTGTGCATGTGTTGTTTTGTGCAATAGCAGTCACAACGGGAATTATCCAATAAGTCAATCCACTCATGCACGTCAAGAGCGAAGAAGAGAAAAAAAATCGAAGGAAATTGAGGAAATAAAGAAGACAAAAATGAAAGTCGGTCGTTTTCTTATGCGATCGTAACGCCTACCGATTGCTGATCCTTTCTCCGTACTGCTTGTAGGAGAAAGGCCCATTTAGATTTGGAATTCTAAATACAAAAATAACAAGTCGACGAAGAAGAAGAGAGAGAAGAGAGGTCACACGGAGATACATATAAGGCAGGACATATAAGCACCGATGGATAAATAGATATATGATAAAATAATAATAATAATAGATAGATAGATAGATAGAAAAAAAACAGACTGTCATGCTTTAAATATAGATATGTATGTATATATATTTTGTGCATGAACTGATCTCTAAACTAGAATATACAGTTGTCGATAACAGTAAGCAAATGTCAATCTTTTCATATGTTTTGTTTTCTCGAAGAAGTGAATAGCTTAGAAAGAATTCGCTTAAACAGGGATAAGAAAGAGGCAGGTAATCATAATGTAGGTTCACATAATTTTTCCGGATGATACTCATCAGTGTGAACAAACCTCCTGGTCAGATGTATCAGCAACATTAACAGTCGTGGTTATAATCTTTTCATTTCCACTAACTGTATGTTTTGCCGATAGGTTTGATTTCGATGTATGGAAGAAAGACCATGCCGATTTTGACTAGTTTAGCGATACGAAGTACTTTATTTACGATATATACGCAAAGATATTGATGTGATAAAGATCAATGTTCGAATGGAATTCGCTGCTCGTGCTTACCTTTTGCGAAACATCTGGTGTTTCTTGTGGTGTTTGCTCTTCATTCTTTTTCTCCCTTTCCAGAGCGACTTGGGCAAACGAGAATAATTGATTTGATTTATCATTTATGGCAATATTATTTGGACACTATATCAAGACAAAGAATAAATAAACAAAACCAACATATACATAGGCAGAAATCAGAAATTGGATTCTTTTTATGTTATCTTCTTGTGATTTAATAGGTAGAGATAGTCTCAAAGGATATCCTTGACTTTTTCCTCTCCAGCCTTGACAGGCGGAAGAACAAGGCGAAGGATACCTTTGTAGATGATTCTAATAATCTAGTAATAATAAAAAGTCTTTTTTTATTTAATTAACAATTCGAACTCAATGATAGATTACTTTTAAGATCGATATGCTTCTGTCGTCTTGCATTGCGAAAGCTTTTGCCCTCTCGTTCTCTTTCCTAATGAACTCATCTATTGTGAAATAACTTGTTGATAATATCTTTCAATGTTCGCTAGATATTAAAAGTAAATTAAATTGTGATAAATCTATTTTGCATTTTGTTATCGAGATTGTTGTCTTTTTATCAATGGAAAACATCTGACAGATTGGATAGACAAGCGCAACTGACATATATCCTGTCAACAGGATGACGAGACTTACTTTACTTTTCTCTTCACCAGTATTATTCGTCATTGGTTTCGGTTGTTGCTGCCGAAGATCTTCGTGATGGAGAAGAAGTTCTACGGCTATTGAAACACAAGCAAGTGAATAGAAAAGTTCGCCTTCAATGTAGTTCTTCTTTACCTTCAACAAATTCTTCATCGATAGCATGAAGTAATGCTTCACCTGTATCAACATTATAATTCAACAGTAGTTCAATCATTTCAATGTTCTCATATTCGATAGCTAATCAAGTCAAACAAAGAAGGATTAAAAACGTGTTTTTGTTATTTTCTACGATAATAACCTATTAAAAGTGCACTTCGACCTAATGGATCTAGACAATTGATATTGATCGGCGTTATTGGCGTGTCAGCACTGACTGATGCTGATGGTGCTGAAGTACTCATGTCGAGATACCTTCGAGTTGTGGCCATATCTCCTCCTAGAACAACAGATGCATACACATAATTAATCGCTCTTGTTTATTCGTAGTATTTGAGGCAAATTCTTTCATCAGCTGTTAATAAAAACCCGTCATCAGCTGTAGTTCATTGTCTTTTGCGCTAGTTCTTTCGTCATTTCTTTTTTTTTGTTTTGAACAAAATAATTATCTACTAGTTTGTTGTCTCATCGACATGGCTTTTCCGGATGGATCTTTTTTATCTCTGAAACTGTCGTTCTAATAGGATTTCCATGAATAATATTTCCTTCCCTCAAGGCATTTCCGAACTTCGATGGTATAAATAAAGACCAAAAATAAGTATTAGATTTGAGAAGAGCTTAAAAAAGACAATCTAATCCAATTCGATTACACTTCTAACTAGATTTTCTCGTTTTTATTCATAAAAAGAAATTCTCTTCGATTTCATTTCCGATCACATATATATATAGAGATGGATTCTTCATTGGCTTCCTTTAGACAAAATTCTCATTATTGTCCGTTTGAAAAAAAAAACAAAAAGATTCAGTGAATATTATCACATTCTTCCTGTCTTAGTTAATCTTGATTTGATGTGTGTCAAAAAGAGAATACTTTAGAACTTTTCCTCATCTCATTCACGCGTCTGTCTGTATAGGATAAAAATAGATAAAAGCAAGAAAAAAAAGAGAGAGAGAGAGAGAGAGAGAGAGAGAGAGAGAGAAATAAAAGAATATAGACTTGTCTTCGCTTGTTACTGATTAATAATGAATCGTTGCTTGGCTTTTTTTTTTCTTGAAAAGAAAAGATTCTCCGAAGAAAAATTTTGCTTGTTTTCCTTTTATATTAAACAAATATCTAATTATGAATAGATGGCTAAGCTGCTAGTCAGAGCTTTCAAATGAAATCAACTTTCTTTTGCTTACGTTCAACGGCGACAAGATACTTTTTTTCATCCTGTGTCAATTCGGGATCTCGCCTTAATTGCGCCATTTGTTGTGCATATGTTTGCGATGTTAACGAAGCAGAATTCGCCAAATCAGTAATTGACTCATTAGATGAACGTCCCACTAACTTTTCTGCTTTATGGTAATCTTTCATAAGCCGTTGGATCGCTCGCGACATTTTGAACAATATTTTATAATAATAATACGAAGAAGACGAATAACAAGGAGTTTTTAAAAAAATAGATAATAGCCACACAGACACAACATATAAACTAGACGAATATATGTATACACATGGATGCTAAAATGATTGAAAAAAATGTCGACATAGTTATTGTTATATTCACTTTATTATATTTTACTATGAATAGAATAAGAACAATAGAAGAAGGAGAAGGAAAAAAAATGGAGGAAACATGCCAAGAAAACTTATTTATATGAAGCTGAATAAAAGTTGTGAAAGAAGAGTGGTATTAGTCAAGATTCTCTCCTCCTCACATCAGACAGCGTGTCTTATTTGCAAGCGCGTCTCAGACGAACGAGCGAAACTCAACGATAGGAACGTATTAAATAATAGCTACATTTGATTTGTTTCCAGTCCTCGTCGTCCTATTATCATCAACGCGTGTAGTCGAAAGATGCTAACAACTCAGCGACTTTCCTCATGCTTACTCTCAAGCCTTCGTATATACACAATGCATATCTTGCATTTCATCGTTCTCCTGAAATTCTTCATATAGCTACGTTCGGCTTCTCTGTTACTCGCTCTTTCCCTGTTGTTCCCACAGGCGTTGACACTAACTAGAAAGCAAGTGCTATCGATACCGCTTGGATGCTTAGATTTTATGTTCCTCTCTATCGTCTTTGATCGATCTCATCCTATCATTCGATGATGATGAGAAGCGTAAATCGTTCGCAAGAATTTTTTTTTCTTCATCTTATTATATCGTGTTAGTCTTCTCGGCTTTAGTGTAATGATTAGGTGTCGGCATCCAACGAAAGATTTCTAAAGGACGTCGCACCAGACACATACAGAAAAAAAGGCAATCGTAGTCATTATTCTGATCCTTCGTTATGTTCGTCTTTCTCTTCTCGTGTAACCTTTATACTTTTCAGCATGATGTCAACGGTTCGTCAGTATACAGGTAGTTATTTCGAGGGGAAAGGAGAAGATAAAGAACTACAGAAAAAAAAGGTAAGAAAGAAGAAAAAAGCGGAAATTGTCATCATTCTCACGGTTGCACACAGGGGAATATTCTTAATGGTGATGAGAGATTTTATGTGACAACGACGAACTAAACAAGAGAGAATAAAAAAGAATAAATAAAATAGAGTACATAATCAAGAAATATATGTAAATACGAAGATCAAGGGACGAACAATAGACTTGTTAATGATAGCGTGTAATTTTCTTCTTCATTGACTATAATATCCTAAACAAAGTGATTGCGTTGTTCTTTATCGTTCTGTATGTCTAACTATTTTCTTGCTAAGGCCAATTGGCAATGATGGTTGAGGAAAAATGTATGTCGAGTAAATATCAACAGTTGTCGCATAACTGAAATGAGAACAACATGATTAAAATATCGAATCAAACTAGCTGGCTAGATCTGATTTCGTCGAGATCCGATGAAGATGAAATGATTCCAAGTCGTAGACAATTGATTACTTAACTAATTATATCTTCATCGGTGAGAGTCGATGTTTATTTCAGATGTCTCGGTCAAAGAACTTCTGCTCGTTTGCTGTGCTATTTTTCCTTGCTGAATAATATGACTTGTTTGCATTCGCGTAACAGACAGATATATAGTAAGCTACTCGCGCATCCAACGAGATCGAATCTGCATCTCGTTATTAATTAGAGAGATAGAGGGAGAAAAAAAGAAAAAAACATCAGCAACGAACGATTGCTTGATCAATATGCTACACAATCTTTATACTTCTCATTTAGTTTTGCTTCGTTCTTGTCTAGATTTCAATCAAGCATATAATATTATCGAACGTTGCATGGAAAAGATCGATCAATCCTATTTTTCTCAATCCGTCATCGAGATAGAGAAAAAGATTGTTATTTAACGCAAAAAATAATATTCAATCATTAGAATTCAGATGGATCGATGGATGAATGAGCGATCGACTGAAGAAAAAGAGAGAGAGAGAGATAGAGAAAGAGAGAGTCAACCAGATACACACATTTACAAAGATCAACACGGAGGTTGAACTCTCACGTTGCAAAGTGATATAATATCCTAAAAAGCTCATCTCTAATAAATACATAAGCATAGATAAAAAACCAGTATTATTTCTTCAATAGTCGTCGTCGTTGTTGTTGTCATCGTTGTCGTTCGCTTTACTAATGTGATGCTTGCACAACGAACAAATCGTAGAATGAGAACGATGAAAAGAAGAAGAAGAAGAAGAAGAAAACAGACACGAGAAAATACTGCGAAGGAGTATGTAGTCCTTTTTACTATATACATTATGAGAGCATAACTTCTTGAGACAACTCGTTTGTGAGCATCGGCTCTATTGTGAAATTTCTAACCATTGAACTATACATGAAAATTTGCTGCTGACGATATTTTAATCGGTGCCGTTCAATACAAAGGAATAGAAAAGAATAAAAACAAATACAGCTGATGGCGCCGGACGACCATACCGTTTTCTACCCGGAGTCACCTTGACGAACTATCGAGTGAAAATGTATGCGCGTGTGTATGCGAAATCAAACATACACCACTGTTAGCTGATTAACATAGATGCGGAATATGTATGTATATATAGATATGTGTGTGTGTGTGACACAGATGGAAAAAATAAAAGAAAAGAAATGAAAAGAATTTTCGTATGTTTTAAGTAGAAAACTGTCGATTTGCTTCTTAGTGATCCTCATCTGTCATCGTTTGATGGTGGACGTGGGGCGCCCGCAGGCTATATATTTCAAATACAAAAAAAGAAAAAGGAGAAAGCTTGACATTTTGTTGTACTTCCTTCCGGTATTCTGTGCAGTGTCGATGAGACTCCGATGTCAAACTAATCGCTATGGGGTTTGCAAAAAAAGAGCGAAGACTGTTCAACAAAACAAAGGTCCTATTGCTTATCAATGTTATTAATCATAGCTGTCGTTTACATTGATAACAACTGTAGCAATAGTAGTCGAACTAAGAACATCAACGAGTCATTATTCTGTTAGATGTTGATGACATTGTGAAGAGGAGAGGAAAAAAGATTTCAGAGGGAAACGATGAAACAGAAGAAAGAGAAAAAGCATCCGACCGAAGCAAATGTCAATCGCAAAATATTATCAAGCCGGCACAGAGCTGTTATATATACGCAGACACATGTGTCATCGTTTGCAAATAGGCAGAGACCATTGTTCGCTTGAGATCGATCTCTGCCCAACGAGGAAAAGAAAAGAAGAGAGAGAGAGAAAGCAAAAAATAACTGGAATAAACAAATCGATGGCACCCGTTGCACACACACACACACACACGTTATTTTTCTTAATACAACTGATAGCGGAAATGAAGCGGCTAGCAACCCGTTCGTCGTGCTACTTTTCGATATCTTTGCTTTCCGTATCAATGACTAGTCAGATTAAACTGCTAGTTGCTCGTCTTCTCGAACTTTCTTTCGTATCAAAGAATTGTTTTAATCATTAGTTCCGGACCTCTCCTCGATTTAAATATAAATCCACATTTGTATATTTGTGTATGCATATAAATATAGATATACATGCTGATGGACTTCATCTGTAACACACTAAACAGATGGAAACACTATCAGGAAGAAAAGAATTCAGTTATGTTTGATTTTTGATGAGTTATAGAGGAAAATGCATTTAGCGATGGATGTGATAATGATTGTTCATGCGTTTCGATTAGCATCTATTTAACATCTTATCGATTGTATAAGACAATCGACATATACAGATGGTGAATTTATTAATCGTCAATAAAGACTAGTCTGATGATGCTTTTCATATCTAAATAATCTTGTGTGTCAATCAGGCAAGACTAATATCAAAAGAATACATGCATAAATGCCAGTGAAATGTAAGAATTACCATATATAAATACAAAGAAGTATAGAATGCAAATCTTCAACTTGTGATATTTCTCGTTTCGTTGATAATAAGACAGTTAATTAGATTTTCTCTTACTTAACTATTATAATGTTAGCTTTGTCTATTGAGTGGTATGAAGAGGAAAAAGAACGTGTGAAGTCAGGATTTGCGAAGAGTATATGATATAATAAGGTTATCGAACCATGACCTGGATTATTCGATGACTGGTCAGCAGAATTAAAGCGAGTTGTTTGTTAAATTGTCATCAGTAATATCGTCGACTACGTCAAATAGAAAATATGCTAATTGTATCGTGAAATTTGCCGAGTAGAGTCGTTTAACAGCTGGAAGAATATATGACATTAAAGAGGAAAAAAAACTATCATCAAATTAACTACTGATAACATTTGTCGTCGCATAATAGTAGTCTAGAGCCCAAAAACCTAATGAAAGAAAATGAGAAGAGAAGTTTTTTTTGTCAGGAGAAAAAAAGGCGTTTGTTTGTTTTTATTACTAATTATTTCCTTTTTTTTTTCTTCATGAACAACTTGAATTTTACAGTTTGGATCATTAGAGTGGATGGAAGAAATAAAGTCCTTAAGATACCAATCAGAAACGATATTCTGAGTATAGTCTGATGATTACTTCGAGCAAAACAAACAACACGTAAGCGATAATGACAAGCAAGGTTTTCTCTCCTGGAGATATCGATGATCAGCATGTATTTCCGTTTGGATTTTGTATATAGACTAATGATAGCAATGCAGTCGGATCAAAGATTCAAATGTCTTTCTTTTCATATAATGACTATCGATGTCGGAAAACGATCGATTGTGTTTCATCTGAAATCCAAAGAGAAGAATGGAAAACTATGTGTACGCGATGTTGCTTTCATTCTATTGTTTCGCTTTCTTTGATATATCTACCTACTTTCATGTATTCATATTCGAGGTATCCGATAGAGAACGATAGTCGAATCTTTCTTTCTCTCTCTTGGATTTTATTTATATCGTCACCTAGACGTGTTCATTTCAGTTGCACTCGTTGGTTTCGTTCGACTGGTGACTATCTAGCATAAGCGTATCTTTGAAAGTCTAAGTTTGTGATCATGAATCCAAACGGTTCGATCTCGATGGGCGATGAAAAATTTCAAATGAATGTCGATCAAGATATTGACGATCACAATCGACTAATAAAATCACGTTTCTTGAATCAACGTCGACCATTTCGTTTAGCATCATTGATTTATCCGATTTTATTGGCTATACTTCTTATAATCGGCACTGTACTTTTAATTCTTACAATCACTCGACGACAAACATGTCGACAACAACAATTGGAACAAGCCGAAGTTCTTCTAGGATACAAACCTGATCTTCATGTAAGCATTTCGACCAATATCTCTTCTCTGTCTCTTCTAATCAGACTTGTTTAGATGAAAACATGGGTACCATGTGTAAAAACAGCCACAAAAGCATGCGCATGCCCAGCAACGTTTATTCATTCTTCAGCGAATCCATCGCATTGTATTCCAAATCATTCGCGTTGTCTCGAATCATGTAAAATGAACGAACATTGTAAATGCCACAATCTAGTCGATCCACTTCGTTGCCGTATCGCCACACGTGGTTGGTTCGATAATGAAATAAAGGTTGGTCCTGTCGAACGTTTTCGCAATCCAGTTACAAATCCATTATTACAATACACATGGATGGATAAATTCAATCGTCAATTAGAACGTTTATTAGTCGATTTACGCGGAGGCGAACGTTTGTTTTTAAGTGCTGATAGACAGACAGGTATTGCTGTTCATGAACATGATGATGATTATTTATTGAACGAACGTTGGACTAAAGTTGAAATCAACAGTACACGACAACACATCGTCTATACACAACTAAATCCCCAAACACACTCCGTATGTGAATAATAAAATCTATCTTCTTCAATAATACTTCAACTTCTCCTATCTATTTAGTGTCGTATGTCATCATTACAAGATGATGGTTCAACCACTCATGGACCAGTTCATTCATGTCCAGGTACACCAATGGGTGCTCCATACTTTTTTGGTGTTGCTTGCAAAGATGTTCTTGTTCTCTGGCACGGTTCTCGTCAGATTAAACTTCGACGACAAGAAGGTTGGACCATGGCTCGCCATCATTTTGAATCAGTCATTCCACATCTGCCTGTTTTACTCGATCCATTCCATCGTTATTACTCTTTATATGACGATTCTATGATCGAAGTCAAGGATTTGAATGGAGACGTTCTTGCTCAACGTTTTACTGATATTATCAAACCAACACGATTCGAATTTATCGATCATCATGGTACAATGTGGGTTGCTAATCAAACACATATGCAATTGTTTCATTCCAAGAATGATCAAGCATGGCTTGATTTTTAAAACAGCTCTTTTATTATTCCGTTCATAGACTACGTTTTAACTTTTATTCAATATGAATAAACAACCATACACCGTTTCCCAAAACATGATTCGTTTCTAATCAGAAAGTGCATCAAACCTATTTTTCTTCGTCTGATTGACAGGTGCGTGCAATAAGACCTGTACAGTTGATCGCTTATCTTAGATTAGATTAAAGAAAAAGCACATGCTTCATTATTCAGTCAAGTGTCTGTCTACATTATAATCTATACCGAGCACATTTGTCGTTTATTTTTTTCGATCTACTTTCGCAAGTACAGATTTTGTTTACGTATTTCAACATGATGATGCGCGTGTATTGAAGAAAATAAGTAAACTTGAAAAGCTTTCTCGATCACTATCTACTAGATAGAATGCTACAATTGTGTGCACATGCAACTGAATCTTATTCTGATTGTTGAACAATACTATTTACTATGATTTCAGAAAAAAAAGACAAGCTCATATTATGTTGACGATTCTTTATTTATTATTTTCATCTACGAACTGTATTACACAAACAAAACATGTACAATCACCTTCAACAAACTTTGTTTTGAAAGTTATCTACGTTCGACCGCTACTTGTATTGACGAACCTTAACGCCAAGTATGCACAGAAACGAAAACAGACAAACATGCCAAAAAGAACAAGAAAATTCAAACCAATATTAATTCCATAATCAAAATATTGGAGTGCTTCATTACTAATGAATGTTCCGTTCGGATTATTTCGACACGAAACCACATAGGAGCCATCAACACATTCATACACTTGTCCACCTTTGAATTGTAATTGTAAGCATGCGTTATAAGCATACTTGAAAAACGAGAACCATTTGCCCCAAACACCCAGCCAATGTGGAAGATTTCGAACGAAGAAGCCGCCGACTAACATCAGTGTGATCAGAAGGACTGTTGCAGCTGTAATGGCATGATGCAAGTTTTTTAACGCTGCACCCAAAAGTAGACCGAGTGATTCGGCTACCAGAATGGATAGAAGTTGAAAGACAAGAATGGCAAGGAAGATGCCAAAGTTGTTGTTAATTCTCGCCATCCAGTAGGAAATGATTAGAAACATTGTTGGTAAAACCAACTTCAAGGGAGCTTCAGCTAATGATTTTGCAACAAAATAAGCTGATAAACGAAATGCACCACTTGCACGTTCCTTTTCGATAACACCACGTTCAAATGGAAAAGACAACAGACCCATCATCAGTGTGTGTAAAGGCCAAAATGTCATGAGAAAGAAAATAAACGACGATCGATCAGGTATCGTGTCTTCTCGGAATTCCATCCGTAACCAACACAAACCACTTATTATAGCTAAAACTATTGACTGTATAAAGTTAAGAAGAGTAAACTGGGCTTTTCCTGTTAATCGGAAACTTCGTGAATATAGAATTAACATTTGTGGCAAAAATCCGATTGGCCATTTGCCTTCACGGCCATCTGGAATCAAATTCACGTTGTCCGGATTGGTCAGATCACTTTCTTTTCCCGATGGCTCAGCCATCAAATATCGACTAGATTCTGACAATTGACTTGGTATTTGACCACTAATGATTCGATGCTGAAGGTATGCTTCCTTCAATTCTTCACGAATTTTCATATCTTGATTAACGAGATCCATAACGTAATCTGCCGGATTGTATTGACTTGGACAATTGTAGTTCATTGTTGAAAAGTATGCGAGAGCATTCGATGGTCGACCCTGTGAATAACAATTAGTGAGTATGAATATAGCGTGTTATCAGTTTATACATACCATGAAGATGCCTTTGCCATCTGCGAGCAGAATGAGTTGATCAAATGATTGAAAGATTTGTGATGATGGTTGATGAATGGACGTGATGATTGTTTTTCCTTGCATAGCCAATTCACGTAGTACATCCATGAGTGAGACAGCTGATGTACTGTCCAAACCGGATGTGGGTTCTATACAAACGCGTACACATGTACATATAGACGAATACAATGAAGAACATTTACTAACCATCAAGAAAGATAACACTGGGATTAGTGAGAAGTTCAGTTCCGATATTGACACGTTTTTTTTCTCCGCCAGATATTAACATAATAGGAGTATTAGCACACTTTCGAATACGAAGTTGATCGATAATGTTTTCAACTTGTGCAAGTTTATCTTTTCGAGATAGATGATTGGGTAACCGAAGAAGTGCAGTATAGGTAAGTTGCTGTTTGACAGTTAAACTTTCAAAGAACAGATCTTGTTGAAGAACATAAGCAAGTTTTCGCTTCATAGCGCGATCATATAGCTGATTATTGTACCAGACATTACCGGTGACACCGCTCAATGCTCGACCAGCAAGTGTATTCAGAAGTGTTGTTTTACCACATCCTATGAAAGAACTAGATGTGTACACATCATAGTGTGCACGTATGCCACTCACCTGATGGTCCCATAAGTGCGACAATTTGTCGGGGATGAATTTGGCCAGAGAGTTTGTCGAGAAGAGTTCGTTGAATGAACCGTTCTTTGGACGATGGATCGATCATTTTAGCCGGAACATTGATCACTTTGGAAACGTTATGAAACGTAACTGTGATGCGCGGAGATTGTGCTGCCATGATTTGCTCACCTTCAATCGACATTTGAGTTTGTAATGTATCACCATCACGCATTTCAATAGTATATATTTTATGTTGGCCATTAGGAGTATATGCCGGCGGTTTTTCATACGTTGGAGCAATATACGATGGATTGATGTACGCGCTTTGATCTGCAGAATCCATATTACTATTAACTTTTGATAGATGAAAGAAATTGAATGACGCTATGATTCGCGTCTCGTCTTTATATACATCGGGAGGATAGTAAGGTGCACTCAAAATACGATAATTATCATCATCATTATTATTGACGTGTATCGACTGCAATATGCAACCTCGTACTTTAATGCCGATCTCGATATGTTAGTGTCGCGTATACCTCTGACGATTGACATAAAGCAGAAAATGTATGCAATATGTACTTTGTTAAGGTAGAAAAAGTGCTTCGTAAGAATGATGTTCGAGCTTTTTTATTTGTTGTTTACAAAAGGTGCTATTGTTAGATGCGTATCGTCCGATATGCTTAATTGCTATGGTTCACAAACGATCGTAATAAATTATCGTTGCACTTCATGAATCCTTTTCTGTTATACCTTGTATCTTGAGATAGAAAGTAAGTCGAAAAAGAGAATAATATGTCCTTTTGGAGAAGAAATTTTATCTTTTATCTATTCGAACATGTTATTAACACAAAAAATAACCGGGTGTTGTGATAGATAGCATACTTGTGTTTTGTTGTTTTATATTTAATTTATGATTAATCGTTCGAGTAATTTTCAGGCGAACTTTCTCTAATGAGTATTTATTTATGTAAGATTTATTTTCACTAAAAAATGAAGCATATTCATGATTGTGAGATCACACTGTAAACAAAAATAGACAGAGACAGAAAAGTCAGGAAAAGAATATCTAATTAAGTGACGAACGAAACTCGAAAAGTCATTAGATAAAGCACCGTCGTAGAAAAATGAAACCCAAATCAGCTGACATCAGAAGATATCTGGACAGACATTCCAATTTCGTTGCCAATATTTCTCATTGGAAACCCAAACATCTTGTCCGGTTATTTCATGTTTCATCAGACGAAACCATCTAAAAAACAAAGGAATGAGAGAGAAGTCAAACAGCAGAATGGTTCGTACCTTGGTTGCCATTCTTCTCGACGCTTTTCCAATGCTCGTCGAGAGACCCGTTGTTTTTCTTCGAGACGGTCTTTTTCTTGTCCAGCTAAGTCAATATTACCTTCTTCCATTTGACGAATATCCGGACGAAATCGTGAATCTGTTGGTGGTAACGGTGGTCGAGTTTTCTTATCTTGTTCTGTCCATTCATTTAATGCCATTGTAAATAAAGAAAAGTTGTAATACTAAAACGGCTTATTCTTGACTTATGAAAGGTTACTTTCGTAATTACTTGTGCTGCATAGTCTAGTTTTGGAATGATTCTCCAGAGTGTGATCGAATTTGGTGGAAGATTGAGTTGTTCGTGTGATGGATCAACATCTGGCAATTCTTCGTCTGGATCATTACTATCAGCGCCATTTGTTGCTGTTGTCGCTGCTGCTACTGCGGTTGTTGCTTGTTGGGGAGGATTTTTCGAAGCATTCTTTAGATCTTTCTTCTGTTGTTTCAGAAATGCTTCGAAATGATTGATATCAATTGAATACAAAGCATCTGTCCAATAGCCGTATAATCCACGTATTTTATTTTTGCTAGACATTCAATCGTGCATCACTACTATGTAGACGATTTTTATAGGTTGTTACTTACTTGCTATCGTAAATGTAGCCTTCAACTTTATGTAATTCTTTCGATGACCATGAATAGGGTTTAAAATTAATAATTGCTTTAATCTTATTAGAATGATTGACAATTTCCATTGTACCATGCTAAATTAGAATTGTCAAAGCATAATCAAATGTCACATACGATGAGTACAATCTCTTACATATTCGAACCAGAGCTTACCAACAACGATATTATGAATTGTACATGTCACACTTTCCCATGTGTAGATTTCCTTATGCCTAGTGATGAGAGAAAACGAAAGCAATGCCACTATTTTGTTCACGTATCTTATCCGCCTACCGTTTAAGCTCTAATGTTAATAAACCTTTGGGATTAACTTCCATATTTTTAACAGAAAACTTTGCTTTCGGCAAAATACTTCCGTAAAATCTCCATCGATCGCCATTGTTTTTCGATTCACATGTAAATGCGCTTACTGGTGGGTGATGACTAACTTGTTCACTCATATAACGAAATGGTACATCATCTCTTGATAAAATTTCGAGATAAAATATCATCGAAAGATAGTAACATCGTTCTTACCGAACGAATTCGTACGTTTCACCAAGCAATGGATTGAATGGTTTCGATAGACGATCGCAATTGTTCGATATCGATGAAACAGCGAAAGCGGCAACGTACTATGCAAAAAATAGTTAACAAATCTCCAACAAAAATAGGAATATACATACCTGCATTCTCATGTGTGGATCAGTACATTCGTCTGCTCGATCGAGTAGATACGAATAGAGCGCATTCTCGGTGAATCGCTGAAGAAACGAGACTGGCTCATTCCAGACAATTGGCATTGTTATTTTCGATAATTCCTACAAAAATAAGTTGCATTTCCTCGACGACGTACTCAGAACTTTTCTTCCTGCTCAAATTACAATTATTATTTACGTTAGTTTCTAATATCCCAAGGCAAATTATTCTCGTCTGCCTATAGTTCTAGCCAGATGTTATCCACAACGTCAACAGGTGACATTGAGCATTTCTATTTTTATGAATAACAAGTGCGACTAGTTGATGTGAATAATGAGAAAAACAAACGAGACGTTTGTGTTTATTGCTGTGTATACAAGTGGAATGTTTCTTATTCCCTAAGTAATGCAATAGATAATTCTGATGTAAATTAAAACTGATTCTAATCTCATTTGTAATCCGAATTAGAGCGACTCTTCTAACACAATTGGACTTTATTTCATGCTATGTTCTATTTCGATGAAAAATTGCACATAATTGAAGTGCTTTGAAGACTTAATCTGACACATCGAAGTGGAGAATGTCTTACTTTTCCAATACATTGTTTCAGGATACTCCAAATGCTGATTTGTGAACGATCAAACATTGGTACAGGAAGTTTTGTTCTAAACAGAAATCACAAGACAATACTTCATCAAGGAAACGGATAATTCGAATCGTTACCTCTGCGCATTTTTCTGTAATGCAACATATAGATTATCCATATGTGTATTGAAAGAATCAAGAGAAAAAACTGTTTCTAGAAACCGATTGGATGATATATGACTTTAGAGTTTAATGAGAGAATTCAATATGCGTTTATGACTTTTAAATGTTAAGGCCACTGAGTGAGAAGAAAAAGAAAGAAGTGTTTACTAGTTCTTCATTCTTTTCTTCTCCGTTTTTTTCCGAGCAAGTGTAAGAATGATATAGAGAATTTTATTTGCTGTTCATCCATCCGAGAGATAATTTCTTTCTCTTGCCTCTTTTAGAGAAGAAAAGAAAAGAAAAGAAAGAAAAGACCTGCCACTGTAAAAAGGATTCTAACTGGTTTATCTAGTCAGAATGTTTTCGATCACGCCACCTTTTCTTTCTCTAATATTATATTAAACTTAATGTCTCGAGTCTGAATGCGTTAGAGAAAAGAGAAAGATAATAAAATTAGAGAAAAGTAACAGAGAGAGAAACGAGAGAAAAAGTCCGAGCTTCAAGTACTCGACATGATGAGATACAAAACAGAAATTTAACTTTTACTTACCGACCAAATTGCTGCCGGCAAAGACTGTTCCAAACACGCATTAAATCTCGCTGAATGCCATCGATGTAATGATCAAAATCTATGTACAGAATGAAAGAAATCCGCTTTCTGGTATGTTATTTTGAGGAAGTACCTAACACTGATCTTAGCTTTTCAATTCGACCATAAATATTAAATGTTTCTCATTTGATATCATTTCTCTTTCCTTCTCAAGAGTTACTCATTTCGTATGACTAATCAAACTTGTTCTATGACAACTACTTAATTATTAACGCGTTGATGAAAACAATAATAATCCAGGAGAAAATCAAGACTCATTTGAGATAGATAACAAACTAGGCTTTTCATTCTGAGTAGATCATCGATTATCAAATTGAATAAATAATTAAACCACCTCAAAAACACAATCTCGTTAACTCGAGATTTGTCTCTCTCACTCTCACCCTTCAACTCCATACTTCCTGGAACGAACACATCCTAGATAAAGTTCAGTTTTCCATCGACATGAGCATAACGCCTTCTAGACGTTTTCTTTTTCAATAATGTTACTTGCCATCTGAACGCAAACCAAATAAATCTCTTGAGAATATTCTCTTATCGATTGTCCTTGGTAAATCTAATTAAATTTTTTCGTTTCCATCTCATAAATATCATGAAAATTGAATGTCGAAGAGCAATGCTTTCTGATTTATGAAGTACAACGAATAATAGGAGACGGATTATTGAAAAGATATTGTCATCAAGTACATATTGTTCACGTTCACAAGTATTTCCGTTTGCAAAAAACGGATCAACTTCAGTGCAGGAAAGAATACTTTCTAGTAATAAATATGTATCATTTCGATCTTTGCCTATCCTGTTGACCCAATGTTAATATTTACTAATTCTTACGCAAAACATCTACTCGAAAGCGTGAGGAAGTAAAAAAGCAGTTACCATCAGCGTCAAAAAATTCATCGTCCGTTTTAGATTGTGCCATTTGTCTTAATCAATCTAAATATATACGAATTAAACAAAGAATTTCAATTCAAAATTCAACTTACAGTCTGCGAATAGATTAAATCTCATTATAACGATGAACATGAAAAATCTTTAAATAAGAGAAGAAAAGAAAAAGTACTCGCCTAATAGTCACTCGTTTAATCCTTTCTTTTTTCGGACTTTTAGTTGAAGAAAACGGTGAAGTTATTTTTCAATGCATTACGATAGTCAGCATGGCTTGAATTTGTATACAGAGAAAGGTTCTCTTACGCCCGTGTTTCTTTTTTCTTCTTTTCTTGTCGTCGTAATTTTTTTATTGTATGCTGACAGTATTCTATATGATTTTTCTTTTTTTCGTCATCGGCTGGCATGCATTATATTTTGGTAATACCAATGTACGTCTGTGGACAATAGACAAAGGTAGTATGTAAATATAAGAAAAAGAAAAACAGTGAAACTCGTTGTGTAATGAAAGAAAGCAAAAAAAAACATAGAAGCCGACGTTTGTCGATCTAGGCATGTTGTTGTTGATAGGTCTCTTTTCGTTCATTCATTTCTATTCATACACATACACAAAGAAGAAAAGGATCAACTTTCGGATCGATTCAATCTACTGATAGGTTACACGAGATGAAATTTATTATGCACGAAAATACAGGGTTAGTTTCTAGTTGACATAATCTAAGTTCAATTGAATCAGAAGCCAGGTGCAACGAAAAAATCTGTCAATGGATCGATGTCTGACTTACAAAACTTTGGATTGAATGGAAATTGTGAATGTGAGAGTGGAGGCGAAAGATGCCAGTCAGCTCTGATACGAATTGGACAAGAATTTTGATTGGTTGTTCAGTTAGGCAATGAAACAATCAATGACGAGTAATATGACTCATGAAAACGCAGCAATTGAAAAATTTGTTGTAAAGAAAGAAAGAACGAGAAATTCTTTTGTTTTTATTTCCAAGATTTTTTTTCTGACAAATGGCCTGAGAATAAATTTTGAAACAAAACTATGGGTATTGGATCAACGAAAATCATATCATATGATGAAGCTTCTAAACGATGTAAAAAAAGTTGCTTTTAATTTCTTAATAAGGAAAAACTAACCTATTTTTGTTTATTCTCTATTGGATTTAGTTTTGCCAGCGGATTTAGATCGAATTGAAACTACATTTCGAGATTTAACCAATGCAACGGGTGAATTAAGCTATACAAGTTTTAAACGAGATGTTTTTGCACATTTTCTACCTGAAAAATTAGCAGCTGTATGTGATAGAGAGTTTTATGACACGGATGTCACGTTCTAATTCATATTTAGCGTTTGTATCAAGTTTGTACGAGTTCATCCAAATCATGTATGTCGCAGAAAGATCTTGTCTGTTGTTTGGCATTAATTTATTATGGAAGTACAAAAGAACGAATGCAACGTATGACAACTATTCATCTAATCACACTTCTTATTTGAGTATCTTCTTCTATTTAGTTTTGTACTTATTATTTGCACACAATACATCGAATAATAATGGCACATTACGTTGGCAAGATGTGGAAGATTTCCTTTCTCAATGCGGAGATCATCCACCTGAAGAATTAGATAAAATCTTCCAAAACGTAAGTCGAATGTGTCGAGTTTCGATTAAATATGTTTTAACTTCTCTAGCATGATGAAATCGTTACACAAGATAAGTTCCTTTCCTGGTTAGAATATCACCATGGACATACGACCATGATAACCGATTGGTTAATGGATGATCAACGGCTACATGAGCTAGTCTTATCACCAATTGATCGAACGCTGGATCAGTATTCTATCTTAGCTGGTGTAACGAATTGTAAGTAGATAAGACAGCGGTTGTTTCAGTCTATTAATGTGTTTCTTTGGATATTTAGTGTTTGAAAGTGAAATCAAGGATTTGGAAAAGAATTATCAGCATTTGTGCGCATATCCAAATCAGAATCGACAAAATCAAATAACTTTACAAACATTTTCAAACATTTTAACACCTGTTCTTCCTCCCATGTTAATTCCAGGTTTTTTCGATGCTTTCGATGAGAATTGTGATGGTGAGTAAAACTTTTCTTTCTGAAAATGAATGCAAAATCTATTCGAACCATCTCGGCAGGTTGTATTGACTTCAAAGAATTTGTCTGCGGAATTAGCGCTGCATGTCGTGGACCTCCAAAAGAAGTATATACCTGTAAGTTCAATACCGGTTTGACATACTGGATGATTCGTTTTTCATCGTAGTTCTCTTCCGGGTGTTCGATCGTGATCATGATGGTCGTTTAGAACGCTCTGATATCATTCACATGTGCTCTTGTCTTATTGATGTCGCTCAATTTGTTTATGTACTTAGCATACATATGAATGATTCACCTGATCTCTATGCAGACAATATTCTACGAAAAAACGAGGTATAAAAGAATTTCGAAGCGAAAATTCTTCATAAATATGATGTTTTCCTGTATATAAGAATAATAATCAATCGTCTCAAATGAAATTTTTCAATCAACAAGACTTTCTAACTTGGTGTTCAACAGATCCATTAATCGAAGAATTAATCGGATTAATCTTTCAAGTATGCCATGTAGTGCTTGGTTTAAAACCATCAACAAAACAAGAAGAAATAACTATTGTGAAGTAAGTTTCAAAAATAACGATCGCTTCTTGTGATCTGACCGTGAAATATATATTTTTATAGACAATTTCTTCGACGAGAACAGTATCCATTTGTTGAAGCTCAATCAGGTGTCTCATCGAAAGTTTATCATTGGATTAATTGTAATCGATCGACATCTAAACCAGGTTCATCATGGTATCTTATCCCGAAAGAGTGGTGGACACGTTGGGAATCATCAGCAAATACGAATTCAACAGAAATCGCGACAACAAATCTACATAAAAAGAATTCTTCCAGTAAACTAAATAAATTATCAAATGGAATAGATCACAAGTAAAGAAACAACATCTTCGTGCTATTTCTTATTGCTCATTACGATGATTTTAGACGAGAACCTGGTGATATTGATAATTCCATATTGATTGAAAAGATCTCTTCGAATAATACTCGTATAGCGAATGATGATTGTGTACAACTTCGTCCTGGACTTCGACATAATGTACATTTCGAAATGGTGCCTGAATCAATCTGGTCATTTTTACGGAAATACTATCGTTTAAGTGGACCGGCGATATGCCGAAAAGTAACTTATCGGAAGAAACTCAACAAACCTGAACTTGATCTCTATCCGGTAAGGATCTTAAACGGAGACAATTGTTGATCAGTTCTTTTTGTTCATCTAGTTGCTGATCAAAATCTATCGAAATCAAGTTCTAACACCACAACAAATGCAAGCCATAGCAACAAATAATCAAGCAAATAATTCCTCATCAACCTATGCAGTCTATCCACTTCTTAATTTAGTTTCGGCAAATCTTTTTGGTAAATGTTCACCTTGATTTTATGTTAACAGGACTTCATCTGCACTCATCTGTTTAGGTACAAGCACCCCGTCAAATTCGGTGCCGAATAACATTCAGAGACATTATTTGAGCTGTTCGTATTACGTTAGTCCATATCAAACAGTACGATCACTGGTGGAAGAGTTGTCCACAAAATTTGGCAAATCAGTAGACGAAATCAGAATTTGGCTGAGACATAATGAAGTTAGTTGAATGCTTCGAGCAGACGATCGGACCATTTCGACACGTTCTTGTGTTTTTTCTCTTTATACAATCAGTTATTTCAACAAATATTTATATTCTTCTATCGTGTTCGTTTAGAACGAGCTTCAATCAGTCGATTTCGAATCAAACAGTGATCTAACGTGTGAAGATGCTGCGTTCGAGCAGCATACGGAGATGTTACTAGAAACACGTAACAACGATTTGACTTGGCCTGAGGAATTGTATACATTAGCCATACGTTCAAAAACGAACACTTCTTCTTCTTCATCATCAACAGCATCATACAACAATTCATCAGGGAATGTTGATGAAGAAGAACGTGGCTTGATTGGCCTATCCAATCTCGGCAACACTTGCTTTCTCAATGCTGCTGTTCAATGTTTGAGCCATTCATTTCCTTTGACGTTCTACTTTTTACATAAATATCATCTATTTGAAATCAACAAGTAAGAAAATAAGAACACTCCGCAATCACATTGCTCCATTGTCATTTATAGAGACAATCCGATTGGAATGCAAGGTAATATAGCACTGCGTTACGGTCAATTAGTTGCAAGATTATGGGGCAATGTTCGTGGACCGTTAGCACCGTTTGAACTGCGAGTTCGCATCGAATATTCACTGATTGTTTCTTAATTCTCATTTTTCCTCTTCTTCAGGATTCAGTGGCCAAATTTGGTTCATCACGTTTTACAGATTTTCAACAGCATGACTCTCAGGAATTCCTTTCCTTCCTAATTGATGGTTTACACGAAGATCTCAATCGTGTTCATCACAAACCTTATGTTGAACTTAAAGATAGCGATGATCGTCCAGATCAAGATGTATGAAGAACTAAGAATTTGCCTTCGATCTTGTCTACTTTCTACTTTAGGTTGCGTATGAACATTGGGCAAACCATTTAGCAAGAAATACATCGATCATTGTTGACTTATTCCATGGTTTACTTCGTTCACAAGTCAAATGTCGCGTTTGTGATTTGAAAAGCGTACGATTCGATCCATTCAATATTCTATCCTTGCCGTTACCTGTGGATACAACAATCAATATCGAAACGAAATGTATGTCGAGTTCAGAGATTGAATCTTCGATAAAAGAAAGTTTCGCATTGTTTTCTCTTCAGTATTTCGTCTTGATGGTTCCCGTCCAACTCGCTACGGTATTAGGCTCGATGGCGATTGCCCAGTTAGTCAACTAAAAATGCAATTGTCCAATCTATCATCGTTATCCATCGAACAGATCGGATTCTTCGAATGTAATTCTTCTTATCTCCGTCGAAATCCATTCATGGACAATGATCAAACAAAAGTCAAACAATTGTCTTTTCGAGACTTGATCGCTTATGAACTCCCATTGAATAAATCCTGTGATACTTCCAGTGAAAAGCCGCTTCCGCCGAGTTGTTCGTCATCGTACATCGTTGCCGTGCATCGACGACTAGAACGACAAGAACGATACTTGTCACCCATGACACGTCATAAAATTATCTTTTTCGGCCAACCTATTCTGATTCCATACGATAAAACTTCGATTTCGCAGAAGAAAATAACAAATGCTAATGTTTATCAAATGGTATTCAAACAATTAGAACGTCTACTAAGAAAGAAGAAAGATCTAGCAAATCTCGCTAATCATGCATTCGATTGTGATCAGTTGTTAAAAGCAAGTTACCCATTTACATTAAAATTCGTTAATGACGACGGGAAAAAATGTTCGACATGCTCATGGAATCGGTAGGTTTATTTTGTTTTTCGAGAAATGTTCCACTATGACAATAATTTGTATTCTAGTTTCTGTCTTGGCTGCCCATTCGAATCAAATGATCAAGAATTCAACTACAGTGATGGTAATCTTGCTATCGAATGGGAATCATCAGCTTATTATCTTTGTTATCTATCAAATCGAGAACAAGTAGAGAATAAAACTAGAATTCGTTTCAATCGAATATGTGTTTGCTTTTAGGACGTTGAAATTTATCCGAGTGTCACACAGATTCGCTCGGCAACTAACAGTTTCATCGCTGATGATCCTACCTCGACAGTCCGATTAGAAGATTGTCTTGAATCGTTTATCAAATGGGAAAATCTTGAGAACAAAGAAATGTTCAACTGTAAACGATGCAAGAAACTACAACCAGCAGATAAAAAACTCGACATTTGGAAATTACCGCCATGTCTTGTAAGAGTGACACTATTCGCTTTTGTGTAATGAAAAAAACTCAAAAGAATTCATTTTAGATATTCCATATAAAGCGTTTTCAACTATCTAATAATCGTTGGATAAAATCCTCTCGTCCAGTTCATTTTCCGATTCATTCATTTTATCCATCCAAATATCTTGCACAACGATCGTCCGTGCCCACACCGATGCAGTTTCGTCCAGCCAACGACAATCTTAGCTCATCTTCGTCTTCACTATCATCAACAACAGGTCCCGAAGCTGTTTCGTCTTCATCCATAGACAACATGCTTATCGTATCTTCAACTCGTTTGACCAATGGCACTGATCATCATTCCAAATCTACATACGAGCCAATTATTGGCTTACCGCCACCCGAACATATCGAAGAGCCTGTAAAAAAGAAGAATAAGAAGCCCTTTCATCGCCGTCGTAAAAAGATCGAAGTGGAGACTGTTGAAAACACCCTAAATCCACCACGATTCAGTCAAATGGAAGAACGAACACTGAGTTTTGGTGATAACAGTTTCGATGCTGATAATTCTTCGTACCATCTCTACGCTCTTGTGGTAAGAATTCTTCATATTAACCTTCACTTCACGAATTTTCTCTAAATTAGTGTCACTATGGAGTCATTGGTGGTGGCCACTATGTTGCATTTGTTAAAAATCACACGAATCAACAATGGTACTGTTTCAATGATAGTTCGTGCAAGGTAAACACATACACAACATCTTCTACGTATACATGTCTATTGATTCTAGCCGGTTTCTGAGAGCATACTGGAACAATGCTTCTCGTCAGCTTATTTATTATTCTATCAGCGTGAAACACTTGACCATCGTCGATATATGCCTAATGTTGAAGGTAAAAAACAAGTAGCCAATGAACTTCCATTGACAAACGATGATCGTTGGTGTTCCATAATGTGATTTAATAAGCGAACAAAAATTTCTTCAGAAATGACATTATTTTTGTTTTTTTTTTGTAAACAATATATACATATTTCTCTCCGGTGCTTTTATGTTGTATAATCAAAATCGACATATATACATACATACAATCCAGAATCAAAACGAAAGAAATTTCTTTGTGCTTATTCGACTGTTTGAATCTAACTGAACCTGTTTTTTTCCTTTTCTTGTACAGCGAACATCAGCAAACTTGTGCAACTTATGTTGGTTTTGTTTTTTTTTTCTTTTTCGTGTATTTGTATGAAGATGTACACACAGTTTTCAAAAAAAATAATATGAGACATATAAATTGCTATTTTTCCTATTAGATTAACTGATGATTAGTCACCGGTTGCCAATTTGATAACCGTTTTCTTCTTCGTTCCGTTGTGACGAGAAACATACGGTGTTTGGTCAGAAAGATAAGGATGCATATCAGCAATTTATATAAAGAAAAAGATTGAAGTGAACGTAGATAAGAAATTAGATCATTTGTTTGACAAAAGTACGTCAATGTGCGAGATTTGAAGGAACATGCATTTTCTATGAGAAAGAGTGTGGCTATAAAATCAAAATCATTGACCGTCGAACAGCGCCCTCTGAATTACTCAACAAGAGTACTCATTGCTCAGTATTCGGTTGATTACCTAAACCGAGAAGGAAAGAGAAAAACGAGAAAAAAATACATGTTTATTATACATCAAAATGGTGGTGAAATGATCGATTCATTCACCTGAAACGATAAAAAAATAAGAAATCAATGAATAACTCAATTATTCGTATGAGGTTATATTTACATTTGTTTTTTTTCTATAGATGTAAATACATCTTTTGCCAACGTTTTTCTTTTCCAACAACAACAACAACAACAAATCAACAATAAAACGATTTCGAAATGCCACTGCCTCGTTCAGCGAGAGAGGCTATCGCCAATGATAGTGAATGTGGCAATCTGTTCTCTCTTGATGATCCCGAAAAACTATTCGTGGACCTCCGGGAAATCGGTCACGGTAATTTTGGTGCTGTTTATTACGTAAGTTACAATTTGTTGCAAAATCGATCATCATTTTATGTCTTTTGCTCAGGCTCGAAATTCGGAAACAAATGAAATCGTTGCAATCAAAAAGATGTCCACAGGACGAAAACAGAATCCTGAAGTTTGTAGAATTCAAAGATCGACTCTCTGTGTGTGTACCTATTACCTTGAATCTATTCTAGACGTGGCAAGATATTTTGAAAGAAATACGTTTCCTCCGTGAACTTAATCATCGTCATTGTATAGCATATCGTGGATGTTATTTAAAAGAATATACGACATGGCTTGCCATGGAGTATTGTCTTGGCTCGGCAGCTGATTTGATTGAAGGTTAATCAAATGAAGAATTAGCAATTCGATATCTTGTGATGTACTTGTCGTTCTAGTTCATAAAAAGTCGTTAGCTGAATGTGAAATAGCTACAATTGTATGTGATACATTATGTGCACTTGAGTATCTCCATTCGATACATCGAATACATCGTGATATCAAAGCAGGAAATATTTTATTAACTGAAAATGCCATTGTCAAACTGGGTAATTTCGTAGAAATGATTCATGATGAAAACCGAACTTTCCTATGTTTTCTCTTTAGCTGACTTTGGTTCTGCTTCGTTTACCAGTCCAGCAAATAGTTTTGTCGGCACACCGTATGTCTAAAAAAGCAATCGTATGATTCACACGCCATGCTCTGTTCTCTAATTAGTTACTGGATCGCACCAGAAGTGATCCTAGCAATGGAAAATGGACAATACGATGGTAAAGTCGACATCTGGTCACTGGGAATCACTTGCATCGAACTTGGTAATGATTTTTTATTAGTTCTTTTAAGAGAAAGAAAATGTGTGAATGAATATTTTTCTAGCTGAACGAAAACCGCCTCTCTTCAATATGAATCCTATGTCAGCATTGTATCATATTGCACAAAATGATCCGCCAACGTTACAGAGTAATAATAGTGAAAATCAGACGCGCACAAGTGATTTTGCTTTATTTATTGCCATGTGCTTAAAGAAAAATCCATGTGAACGACCAACAGCAAAAGAACTTCTCAATGTAAATGAGATTTGCTTACAGAATCTAGACATCAACCGATAGTTGATTTCTTTTATCTTTAGACGATATTCATAAAAAGTCAAAGTAATCGTGAAAGTCTTATTGATTTAATTCGACGTACGAAAGACGCTGTGAAAGAATTTGATAATATACGTTACCGTCGAATGAAAAAAGTTCTGATGGGTCATGACGAGCATAATACATCAAGTGCAGATCTTCATCAATCTGTAGAGGTGATCAATATGGACACAGATAATTCCAATAATATTGATAATGAACTTCTAGTAAAATCTAGAATTCTTCTTTCGGCGTCAAACTAGTTTTGTCTCTCGTTTTTCGTTAATATAGGATGATCGAACATTAGATGACGATGAGGATGATGACGATACACATAGTGCTGATTTGGTTTCCGGAACTCATGATCTTCATGCGGATGATGACGAAAGCTTGAATTCAAGTGGTTCGAGTCTTCAACTACCAGTTCCGCCACCTTCAGCTATTTTCAAAGGCTTACTTATGAATAAACAGATATCAACGTCATCTCCACCTATACAGAATCCCATCTACAGTGGCATGCCATCGAATCCAATCAATGCAAATCGAAGAATCGCACCGGCAGATATCGTCTCATCGTCAAATAATAATCAATCATCATTCCAAACGCAAACGAATGAATCAAGCAACGTCCAAATGAGAAAACATGTAAGATGATCTCTCGAGAGTACGGCCAATTTTCGAGTTTCTATTGAATTCAAATTAGTTACACCATTTGGAATATCCGCTGACTCAACACCGTCGTAATGGACTGCATCAAAATGAGTTTTCGACAATAAAAACTACGCGTATTGTCATACGTGAACAGCGAGAACATAATCAAGAAGATCAACAACTGGAGCAATTTCGCGGATATAAACGAATGAGACGCCAACATCAAAAGCAATTGAAACAGGTTGACATCTCACTCTATCACATCAGAATTTTGTTGCATTCAGATTTCTTTTCTTCGAATTAGTTTGAAGAACGTTGTCGTACTGAAAAAAATGATTTACGTTCGAAACTCGAACGTGAATACAATGCCTTTCAAGAACAGATTACTTTCGAAAACAATCGTCTGTTAGAAAAACATCGTAAAGAACTAGCCGATCGAGTCAAATATAATCAGAATCATTTCCGAAAATTCGAACGCGAACAGGAAGATAATTTCGACGATGAATTGAAACGATTTCAACAGGAACAGATCAAACAGTACAAATTGAAGAAAGAAGCGTTCAAAAAAGTCAGACAAACGAACATCACTTGTTTAAATGTTCACACAAACTGTTTCTTTTTTGTAGGAAGTGTTAAATTCATCATCGCGATCAAAGACAGAAAAAGAAGATGAAATCCGTCGATTAAAAGATGATCTACAAATGAAATTACGTCAAGACGAACAAACATTACGAGTGCAATTGAATCACGAACATACAGTTCGAAGATTACAACTCAAACGACGCAAATTATTGTTACTACACGCACTCGAACAAAAGCTAATTCAAGAAGTTCATATTGCTTTCAAAGTTCATTCCACAGTAAAACAAATTTTCTTTTAGAAATGTACAAAAAGCATGGACACAATCGTGCAACGTCATGGATTACTCAAGAAGCATCATGAATTAACCAAAGAACTAGAATTGAGACAACTAGCGAATCTACACAGGTAGGTTAAAAACGAATTTGATTTAAATGAAAGAAGCTCAATCTTCACCATTAATTATTTGTCATTGTTTTACAATTTAGAACGCGAAATGAATTCACGCAGAAGCAACATCTCACAGAAATGATCAATTTCAATGAATATAGTAATCGTCGTCAAAAAGAACTAGTTAAACGACACGCATTAAATCAAAAACAATTTCCGAAGAACATTAAAGTACGACATTTTGGTGTCACTTTGATCGTACATACATATTTCTATTAGATAAAACAAGCGGAAATTAAACGGCAACATAAAGAAGCATATAATCTTCAATCTCGTCAATACAAGGCACTAAAGGAAAATCTTCGTCTTGAGTATATCAATGTCACATCAAGTCGTTCACGCGAAGAACTTGATTTGAAATTGAAAACAATCAAAGACGATCAACGGAAGAAGTTCGATTTACTCTATCAACGTTACGAAGAAGCTGTACAACGAATGCTTGATCAGCAAAATGTAAGTGGCAGACATGCAGACTGGACGAAGTTTTTCGAATGGATTGTTTTCAGATTAAGTTAAACTCCGATCAAGAACGCGAGCGTACTGCATTGAAGGCTATACTTGATGAAGATCAAAGGAATCTATTCAATTTACAAGAAGAAAGTCGACTTCGAATGGAACAGCAACATTTAGATGAACGAAAACAGTTGGAACGTAACATCGAAGAACGATTGAAAAAACTCAATGAACAAGTATTTGATTCGTTAGAGAAAGAGATCAAGTTTTACTCATCATCTCGTTTAGATGGAACTTGAATTAGCTGAATATAACGATGATCGTAGTCGACAAATCACATTACTTCTAGAAAAACAACGTTGTGAATTAACTCAAACAGATCGTGATATCACTAACTTAGGTGTGAATGTTGCTGATCTTGCAGATACTATCCAAGATATTCACTTCTTTTCCGCTAATCCACCCGTTCATTTGACAGCTCAAGAAAAGCAGCTATTTACAGGCAGTGCTCATCCGAATAATCGTGCATCGATGATCAGCTTACAACGTTCGTATAGTACAAATTCTTTTACTTCAAATACAACGAATGGTAGTGGAGCAAACGCACATAAATAATCTCTTGATATTAACAATCTATGTGAATACAGTGATCCTTCTTATTTTATTCGCTGTTTCTCGCTCGTTCGAGTTCAATTCAGGTAAATCTATCTCTTCCAAAATTTTTTTTTTGTATAAAATCGAACACTCTCTCTACTGCAATCAGATTATAATTGTTCATTTTGTTCTCTCTTTCTCACGCTATCTCTGTCCTATGACTTATATATCTTTTGGTTTTTATCATATACGTAACAAACAGTTTCTTTTTTTTTCTTTTGTTGCTTTGCTTTATATATACATATGTATACACTATTTTTCTAACTGGTCTCTTCTGATATTTGACCAAAAAACCATCCTACGAGACAAAAATTGGAACATTTACGGTTGCTTATATATAAATATAAATATAAATATATTCGATTACGATAATTCATAATTTAATTTTAGATTCTTTTCTTCAATTTTCTACTTTTTTTTGTCAGTAACAAAGATGAGTGATAGCAATGCAAATCATGTAGCAGTGACTGTCGAACAATCGACAGCAACTCCTGTTTCTGCACAGGCCCATGAGAATGTTGAAGCATCTACGACGGTGCAAGCAACACCATTAGGTACGAAATTGACGACGGATTGTATCCAGATAACCTATCTCCTATGTATTTGTTTTACATTAGATGGACCACCACCTGCATATGAAGCTGCTCCATCATCGAACGCTAGTGCTAATAATCCTGCTAATGTAGATGAGGCTGTAGGTGTGATAGAAGCTCCACCGCCATATTGTCTCGTCGATCCAAGTAAAATTCCCAATATGGATCATATCCCACATTATTCGCAAATAACACCTGTTGAAATTATTGATCTAAATATGAACAGTAGTGCTGGCAACGAGCAGGTAAGAGGAAGATACTCTGTTGATTTTCCATGGAATTGTGTGTCTTTTTTAGTCAAATCGTTATCATAATCAAGCAGCGATTGCAGCTTGGCTTTCATCGGGTTCGAACATGGACATCGGTACAGATTGTACATTCCTTATGGCATTGTAAGTATTCTGTCCGTTCGATGTCCAGTCTCGTTCAATTCTTCTTTGTAATATTTAGTATAATTGCTTTCTTTTTCAATTGGATCGGTTTTCTTGCCGTTATTTGTCTTATTCCGACCATTGCTGCTCGTTTCGGCGCGATGTCAGGGTTTGGCTTGAGTGTCGCCAAATGGATAACCGTTGTTCGTTATCATGAATTGAATAATTCATCCTATCTTACACCAAGTAACATGTCCACACCTTATCATCGAACTATCGTTCATGATCCTGCACATAACTTCGTCTTTGCTATCGTTTTATTTGCTGGATTCTTCTTGTTCGTTCGTGGTTTAATATCTTATATTGCCGTTAAGAATCGTGCAAATCAACATGGGCAAACAGCAGATGTTTTCAATTGGTACTAGACTTTCAAGAAAACTACTTCAAGAGACCTTCTTATATTCTCTTCGCTTGTCGATCTGTTACTAATATTGTTCTGAACAAATAAAATCTTTCGGGACAATGTATTTATATCAGCTAATCTACATATACGTATATTTTTTTCTTGTTCTCGAATATATGGATGTCTTTTGTCCTTTTTTTTTGCTTATTTCATCGATCAAATCCTCTTTTTCGAAATAAATATCGTATGTTGTATTTAATATCATTTACGAATGTTTCTCGTATCCAATCGACAAGAAATCGCAAATCGGGTTTATATGGTTTTATTGTCTTTTAGTGTATAAATAAACGTAATCATCAGATGTGATTAGATCTTCGTATGATGATGAGTTTAGAAGAGATAGAGCAGAAACAGAAAAGGTTATGTACAGTAAACACACGTACTAGAAAAGAAAGAGGTGTGAGAAGAAAATCTATAACAACGAGAACGGGAAACAACAACAACAACAACGCCTTTCTCATTCTTATATACAAGTGATAGAAAAGAAAAACGACAATATTGTTCTGAACTACCGGCTAGTATGGCAACCAACACAGTTCGGTAAAAGAGAAAGAAAACGAATCAGCAAGAGAGATGAGAAGATATGCATGTAAAAAATGAGGATGGTTGACTGCTGCATATAAACCGTATGTAACACACCGGCAACTTGACCTGAACTGTTCGATTTTATTTTTCCAAGGGTAAATTGAGAAGGGTTACGAATTGAGAATATTTCGAATGTTCAATCATCTAATGACATCGACGCTTGTCGAAGGTGCTCTCGTGCATGACGGTGTGATTCTGAGCATGAACAGCCAATCATCATTTCTCGGTTTAGCAATGTATCAGCTGTTGCTTGGTCACCTGTTGCAACTAGAATAGCAAGTCAAATAAAATTTTTCGATAAAAACGAATGAAATTTTATACGTACTGGCTGTGTGAACAGCTGATTGTCCAAGCCAACCGTTTTGGTGAATATCGGAACCGGCTTTCAATAGATAATCAATGATTTCAGCATGTGTACCACGGACAGCTGAAAAAAAAACATCAGACGTATTTCAACGGATAAATTTAAAATCGATAAATCTTACCAAGAATGAGTGGAATATCTCCATCGTCATTTTTGCAATTAACACTAGCTCCGTATTTAACAAGCGTTTGAACTACATCGAGATGGCCATTTTGAGCGGCAGCGTGAAGAGCTGTATAGCCGAATTGACCTTTCTTTTGGATATCAGCACCAGCATCGATTAATGCTTTAACGATATCACGTCGACCAAGCATAGCAGCGTTCATCAATGGTGTATAACCATAAGCATCAGGAGCATTAATATCTGCACCTAGAGGACAAAATAAGCAGTTAAATCGAATTTCATTCGAGTTCAGAATATTTCTTTACATACCTTCACGAAGCCAGCATTTAATTCCTTCTAAAGAGCCGCATTCGGCTTCTTCTGGTAGAGAACGTTTAGTTTTCTGTGGACTGTTGAATAGGTTCAAAACAAGATCAGTAGTTGTTTTGATCCATGAAACTGGGTAGTAAATGTCGCTTGTATCAATTGAAGGCATGATAAAAATAATGTTAGACTGGATAATCTAAATCGAAGTTAAATATCGATAATAGAGGTTTTGCACTCGTTGGTAGCCTCTAAAGACTGTCCTTGTATTTATTTACGTGGTAAATCTCTGCTTTTCTCTCTCTCTCCCGACGTCTATAGTTCTTTTTCGTACGTTTTTACTCCATATTTGCATACATAGAAGATAGTATTCGAGAAAGAATAGAAGTAACTATCACGCGCTCTACACGCAGTAAAATGTCCTCTCCAATCTCGTTCGTTTTACCATCGTTACATACAGCGATGAGAACGAGAAGAAAGACGATTGGTGGTAAGAACTCAAGGATAGCATGTGATCGATGCTCGCGACTGTTAATGGCATGCGTTGAGTGTGTGGACTATGGAATGGAGAAAGTTCTCCTAGATTTTAGCATGTCACTATGGAAAATCGGAACGAGAACTTTGTACAGTACGATCGGTACTGAACTCAAATGATAATTCTTTCTGTCATCGACCAAAGTACATCAGTTTAGAAAATCTATTCTGAACTCTGAACCTTATCCATTTCTACATGATGGTGTACAACGAAACAAAACGAGAGAAATATAGAGATTACATGGATGGAAGTACTAAGTCGAACCAAGTTGGAATTTCACCTACCTGATTTGATCTGTGAGAATATATGACAAAGATCAGTTTGATTGAGGTGTGGCTATATGCACAACAACAAGCCTGTGATATGATAGAGGAATCGAATTTGCGCTGGATATTTATTGACGAGAGAAAGAGAGAGAAACTTTGGAAGAATAAGGAGCAGGTCGTATGACTCTATCACGCACGCTCTGCATGGGTTTTCTTTGCGTCTGTTCTGTTTTGCATTATCGTCGTGTTAACCAAGCCTCCGAATGTCACGAGTTTTGTGCGTGATCGACACTTTCTTATTGTTGAAATAAAGCACGAGGATAACTGTCTCAATATATTCTGCGTTTTTTATATGAATATAATAAAAGAAACATAAATCAGATATTGAAAGATATATAACGGCATTAAGTGCAAAATGAGATACTAATGAGAAGGTGTGTAACATTAATACGTATACATATGTTTTAAAAGTAAAACATTCTTTTCGATAAGACGACTGAGTTTGCTATGACTATTCAAAATAATTCGATTTACTGAAGTTCTCGATGTTTTCGCAGGCATGACGGTGAAAGATTATCGTGCTTCTTAGGGTGTGATCAAAGAGCATCGATCATAATGTAAACAGAATGACAAAAAAAAAGTCGATCTTTGGAATTGACATGCAACTTGCTCTCTCATGTACACTTGTTTTGATGCATTTTATTAATAGTTCTAAACAAATTCAATGGCAGAGAAAAGTGTGTTTCGATTAGCAACTACGCACGAGGTAATCATCTAAAAAAAGGTATATACTCGATGATAAATAAATCTCGCATTGAAATAACAAGATTGTGGGTGTTCAGATTGTTGTTATTATTATGTTTGGGTATTTTCGTGTTACTCGTGTTAAATATGAGGGCATCAACTGTCAACACGTAGTTTTGTATGATCACGACGCAAAACATACATTTTTAATAAGAGAAGGAGAACTGAAAACATGTGTGACGATGTATTATATTCAAATAGGAAAAAGTCCGTAACTTTTGTTTGGTACTTTAAGGGTCAAATTTTTTATTACGTAGCCGTTATTTCTTTTAAACGGACGATGATAGAGCGGGCGTGGGCCTTGGAGATCTAATCATTGTTTAAATATTCACGCATAACTAATGGATTTTCACCGACGCATATTCGAGCGAGGAGAATATACGTTTCTTTTTCTAATCATGTTTTGAATAGAAAATATTTTTTGTGTATTAGACAACGATGTCAAGGTGGTATGTACTGCTGACGAAGGATAATAGTGACTGATTTTCGTTATTGACGTCAATCGACATAGGTATTTGTTTATGGATACAATCATAAGATAAAGTTCATTTTGTAGGACGACGAGGCCGACGAAGTTGGACAGCGATGAAGAAATATGCAGAAATTTGCATCGCTGTTTGGTATTATTGCAATTTAGTCATGAACAACGAAAAGAATGACAGATAAAATAACTTCAATCGAAGCACATGATGTGTGATTCAGTAAAAGCATTGAATACTTTCCAGTACTATTTGACATTTGAGTAAGATTTCTGTGAAAGTCAATTTTCTATTCGGAAAGTTAATAAGAGGCGTGTCATCTTGCTTGGCAAGAATAAGCCTCTTTTTTTTTCAATTAAAGACTCTCAAACAATAAATGATATCCTATCAGGTCATATGCAGCATATGGTACATTTCACACGCGCGCCTTTGTCTACAGACCAAAGTCAATCAATCATCTGTTATTAGAAGAAAATTGATAATTTATCAAAGAACTAAAAGCACGAGCACATGACTTATCAAACAGATGACGCTAGATTACATTATTAGATGATATGAATGAGAAATTTCGATAATCGGAATAATTTCCGGACATGTTCGCGAATGGTTTTTCCCTAGTAAACTTTGAAAATAATCATTCCTGTCTTATAATTCAACGATGAATTTAAACCAATAAATCTTTCATATGTATGAGTCATCGTATCTGCTCTGATAAGAATTTTGTTCTCACGAACGAATTTTGAGAAAACTCTCTGGTTCTGATCAAGATCGAGATGTCTTCTATTTCAAGTAAATGGGTACCGAAACAACGTGATTATGTTTCCGAACATAAACAATTCAATAAACCAACAACCGTAACAACAAATCATCCACTCGGTGTAATTGTTGTACGTTCTCGAAATTTTAGCATAAGAATGATCTTTTATCAAAGACTTCCATTATAGGCCAGCAAACAACAAACAGTTACATCGACGACATCATCACCTATTATTGATCCACTTTCAGCGAAAATCAGTCAAGTGGATATCGACCCATTGTCTCGCGCATTATCTGCGGCGATTAGTACAAATAAGAAAGAATCATCCGATGGAATAGCAGCAACAACACCTGATACATTCGAACCATGGTCAAGTAAGAAAAGTTTGATATTAAATCAATATTCCACAACCAAGAAAATCAGTATGACAACTGCAATGAATAATACTAACGATGAAGCGACTATCGATAATTCTAAAGGTAGGAAGGTGTTCATTGTGTTGGAAAGATTCTTCATTTGTTTATTTAGCTTCGGATATGACCACAACATCGGAAAGAATTAAGAATCGTTTAGAGCAATTAGATGCATTTGAAGTAAGAATGCACGTGGATTGTCGAAATCTATGTATTTCATGTTCCTATGTTGTTTCAGGGTGGACAACAAACTCAAAGTTTAACTCAACAGGAATACATCAATCGAATCAATGAAATGAGTCGAGATATGAGTCAAGCATGGAAAAGTGATCAACGCGTTAAAACATTAAAAATCGCCATTCAAGTAAAGACAGTCGCTCATCTAATTTCAATTCTGCTAACTGTTACTTTGCTTGCAGTGTTGTAAATTATTAGCTGATATGAATGTCATGGAATTCTATCCGAGTAAATTCTGTTTGATTACAGATGTATTGGACACGTTTGGTAGGAAGATAGAAAGAAGATATCCAATGATTTCTATTCCCTTATCTAGGTAAAATGGTCTACACGCGTTTGTTAGAAAAATGTGCACCACCAAATGGAAAAATTCGTAAGATAAGATTAAATATTCGATAGAAAATATTAGTGATTACTTCTCTTAGCGGATCGTATTGTGATTGATCTTGTTCCCGAAACAACGCGCGAAACTGCTCGAAATTGGTTTTACAAAATCGCTATTATCCGTGAATTACTACCACGTATTCTTGTTGAAGCAGCGATTCTTAAATGCTACAACTTCTTATCGGCAACGTAATGATTGTTTTCATTTCTCTGACAATACTAGATTTGCTTTGATTCTTCTAGACATTATCAATCTACATTGGTACAATTAGTCAAAATGTGCCGAGGTATTGGTGATCCATTAGTTGCTGCCTATGCTCGTTGTTATATTTGTCGAGTAACTATGATTTGAACGTATTGAATCGATTAGAATTTTCTGTTAATATATCATAGGTTTCTATTGATATCGATTTCAAACATCGTGAACCGATCGAAGTCGCTTTTACTGATCTATGTCAGTCATTTCATCAAATTACTACGCCAACTGTTAAAAATCTATATGCATCGCAAAAACTAACAACTAGCATATATTTATCCTTATATTCACCAGCATTAGATTGGGTAGTTCAATGTTTATTACATAAACTAGATGACAAGAAAATCGAACAAATGATAAATAAAACTAAAGCAGGCTTAGACGTGCCAAGGTTAGCAGGATAATTTCGTTTTACAAAGTTGTAGCATTCATATGTCCTTGTTTTATTACTTTAGTGGTGGTATCGTATTGAATGCACTTTTGAACACACTTCCGCCAAGTCATGTTCGTGCGAAAGTACAAACGTATATTGGGATGATCAATGACTGCGACGAACAATATTTTCCCAAGGTAAAGTAATGCAATTTTGACAAAGAGAGTACTAATGAAGATTATTTTAGAGTATATTGTATCGTTCATTAGGTTTATCTCTTCTCTTATCACCGCCAGAATCGACACCCTCGGATATACAGATACTGAGCAGTGTTTGGAAAGTGGTGACGAAGTTCAAAGATCCATCGGTGACAAGAACTTTCTCTAACTCAAAGTGTGACAAGATCCGTTTCATTCCTTTTAGAGTTACATGGCATGTGCTGAAGTCTGGACGGAATTAATTTCCAAAGAATATACTGTAAAATCTTCGATTGAACTCATTCGTCTATTCTCGTCACTTTTTCATTTGAATAGATCCGAGAAGTGAACACTATGATAGGTGATATTATCAAGCATTTAACACCCGATCGTGCTTTCGAAGAATATTATGGGAGATTGCACGCAATTATGATCAAACTGCTAACAAATGTCGAAGATTTTGCAGCTCTATTCTCAATGGTACTGAATGACAAAGAATTTGTTTGATTATACTGTTCCTATTACTACTAGGATAAAATCTTGCCATTTCTCGACTTGTTCCAACGAGAAAACGTTCGAGTAGATATATTCAAATCAATCTTACATGCATTTGTCAGCAGGTTTGGATGTTGAATGATGTCATACTTCATTCGTAAGACTTATCTATTTGTCTAGAAACTCACAGGAAAAAACTAATGATCCAGTATTAATAGCTGCAATGATTCATTGTGCTAAATGTGTGCACGACACACTTGGGTAAGTCTAGTTCGTTTACGTATACAGGAATCTAATCGTTTCGTTATACAGAGCATTGACAAATGATGATGAACTACGAGAAGTTAGTGGACTCTTATCTGCTATCATACGTAAGGTCGATTATGGCAAAGATGTTGAGCAAGAGTTGAAATTTTGTGTGGAAGCTCGTGGATTATTTGGTTATATCGATTCAGTTACAATTACACTCATTCAAGTAAGAAATGTAGAAAAAGAAAGATATTTTCAATCGTAACAATTGTCTCACGTTGATAGAAAGTCAACAAATTAGCTATATCCACGTATCATAATGTCAATGGCGTTCACTCGGCTGCTACATCATCATTCATCCGGGCTTGTATGGCTTTTTGTTATATTACAATTCCAACGTTAGAACATCCGTTACATAAACTTCAATTATACACACTTTGTTCACAAACAGCATATTTGAACCAAAGTCCTTCACAGGGTAGGATGAGGACAAATCGAAATCGCTTGTAACTTCTTCTCATAATGTATTTCAGGGGATGGTTTTCTCAAAACCGCGATTACCTTGCTATCTGAATTTCCAAAACAAATTGAGATCGAAGGAAAACCAATATCAAGTGATCGATATCTCTATGAATCGATTACTAACATCATGGGCACACTTGTTGTTGTACCAGTATGCGATTTTATATGTAAAACTTGCAGAGAAAACTGTTATTCTTTCTTTCAAAAGGATAATCCCGATGGCAGTGTTCTATATCTCGCTAATGGTTTGAGTAATGTCATTAGTCAAATGAAATGTTTCGACGAAGCAAGTGAAACGCGTGCGCTGCTTCTGATGAATATGCTCTGTTTTCTTACTACACAAGTTCAATCGACGTTACCATATCATATTCCAAAAGGTATGTTCTCATGTTGGTCGAAGAATGTCTTCATTCTTTGTTGAAATTAGTCGAATCAAATGATACTTTGTATGGTAATGATGAAAATTTTATTAATGAAATACATCAACGGTTGAGTCGCCTTTGCGAACAGATCATTCAGATTCTGAAAGATATGGGCAACACGGTAAATATGAAACGATGCACGTTATAGAGGTGAACTCTTCTCTGAATCTTTAGAATCCAAAGCGTCAGTCGTCATTGGCTCTCGAGTTTTTCAATCGTTTCATTGCGCATACTGACTTGAGTCAGCCGAAATGCTTAAAATTTGTTGTTAATCTTTGGAATTTAATTCAGAAAAATGCCAGCCCTGATACACAAAAGACTGCCGTATGTCTCACTAAAGTTCTGTATTAAAAATATTCTGTTTTTCTTGCTGTAGAAGCGAATGTTGATTGCTATTGAGATAAATTCGAATTCTGATCAGTCCTTTAAACACTTACTCGAACTTTTATCCGGCACGATGAATGAAACCAGTCGAGTATCATCTCGCTCGTCGTCAACATCCAATTCGATACAATCATTCAATACTGGTGATTAAAATCTTTTCCAAAATTAGCAATAATGATTCTCTCCATACCTGTGATTAGTCGATTTCGTCCTTTTTATTTCTGTGGAAACCAATTATGATTGATTTATGTATTTTCTTATAAAATAAAGATTTTTTAGATCATTTTTAATACCATACGAAGCGTTGTTTGTATTTTTCTTGAAAGTCCAGTTAAGTCAAATTGTTTGCTTTTTTTATTGTGAAAGAAAAGTCCTTAAACGATACTTATTCTAAATATGAATCACTCGAGAGAGAAAAACCATTCTATGCTGACATAAAACTATTTCTTATAGTTCTTGATGATGCGAAAATGAATGAGACCAGAAAAAGAGAAGGAAAGAATAAGATAATATTGACGTTATTGTTGTCTGTCTACATTTATCATAGCACCAACAAACATCTTATTTATTTGAAACTTGCTTTAACATGGGGTAGTTGTTTGACAATAGCGCGACTCTTTCAATGGTCCACACCGTTTGCCACCATTACGTGATCGACGTACAGGTACACGTGTACGCGTTTGCATAGCATCTTGACCACAGCCGGTACATGATGACCAAACGCTCCATTGACTAACAACACAATCGACCGGTGCTAAAATGAATCATCATTGAAAAAATATATCTTCTAAAGGGAAGAATACATACGACAACGAATAATATGGCATGATTGTGTCTCTTCCAGTTGTATCGATCGACAACGATGATCATCAACATGATGAGTGATTAATAATGTTCGGCTACGACGTCGAATACCGTTCGGTCCACATGTTACTGAACACTCACTCCATTCACTCCAAGGACTTGTCGGACATGATCGATCAGTGCCTGCAAAAGAAAAGTATTGAAATGTTATTTGATTTTCAATAATCTTTACCTTCGGCAAGAAAACTTTTACAGGCAGTCTCACATTCCATTTTATCAGCGAAATTGTTCTTGTTATTACCACGGGCCGGACATGAAGTGAATGGTACGCATGACATGCTCGTCTTATTGTAATGATAACGTTGTAAACCACGGCATCGATTATCTTCAGCTGGTTCGGACATGCATCGATCTAGATAGTTGATTGTGAAAATTTGATAGAACGTTTTCTTGTATCTAGGTTTACCTTTATTCTCATTTTTGTTGCAATGCATCGAATCTGCGCCTTGACATTGACGTTTTTCGATCAAATGAATGTCTTGGCATTGAGGATCATGATGTGAATTACCATTGATAAACCATCGTCGTCGTTCTGTAGCTCCTTGACCACATGATACAGAACATGGCGAGAATGATGACCAGTCAGTCACAGCACATCTAAAACAAGATCTTTTAGATTGGAAAGTAAAACGAAAGCAATTCATTTACTGTGCAACTTGTTGATTATCGTCGTCACAATCATCACCTGATCTTTCGTAACACATTTCGCTTTCACTTAACCGTTCATTACATCCGTTGTGATCCCGATTTTTGTACATTCTAAAAACAGAAAATCCATTCGAAAATGTTGTGCAAGACAAGTGTAGAAAGCCAACCTTGTTCGTGTTCGTAGACCATTTCCACATTTGACATTACAAACACTCCATTCTGACCAAGGTGATGTCATACAACGAGGATCAGCCGATTCGTCTTCTGCAAACATTCAGACTATTTAATAGAAAAGAGCAGTGAGTGAAAAAAAAGGATACACACCAAGTAATTCAACGTTCGATTTAGCGACTTCTTTGTCGTTCTCGACTTCGTTTGTACGACTCAAGTCGACAAAATCTGGACCAAAGTCAATAACTGACGGTGTTTCCGTATGCTGTGGACGACCGCTTGGACATGATACACCTTGTGTCATCACCCGTTTAATACTCAATTTGGCAAATGGTGGTGGCTGTTGACCTAAGTATTCAGAAAACAGAGAAAAATCAGTATCAACCTATTGTTTTGTTTAATGATCGTACCAAAGAATGGCGATCGATTGTCGGTAATATTGCTTGAAAGAATCGGTGTAATTGGTTTACGATGATGTTCTGGGCGTTTTGGTCCCTAACGAAATATGAAATGTACATTCGGTTAAAAATTATCAAAAGTTTCATTTACATTGTAGCGAACACCCATGTCAGTTCCTGCGTCAAATGGATGAAGTAATTCTTCGTAGCTATCTAACCAGGTGCAATTTGGAAGACATAAGTCTAAGCCGGACACACCTAGTTAAGATAATGAAAATGCCAAGTAGATTTTTGTTTTGTGCAGAAGAAAAACGAATCGAATTACCAGCAACCCAATCGGGTGACGGTCCAAGCATTGTTACAAACGATAAGAAATGATGGTTTCTCGATGATGTAAAGGCACCTGTAGTAGCTTTTGTAACATTAACTGTCCATAGACCAGGTATGATCATTATGTTTCGAATGACACCAAACTTGGTCTGAGAAAAAAAAACAGGAACAGTTTTGGTTTCGTTCTCAACTAATCAGATTTTTAGAATAAAAAATCTTACGTGATTTTTTATTTCTTTCTGCATTGTTCCAATGGCACCCCATTCGGCAACTTGTTTCAAACCATCGCTAGCAATCTCGCCATAGTTCCACACTAGATTACAAAAGAAATGTAGAAGCTACGACATTTTTCTATTGCAATCAATTACGTGAATATTCTTGACTATGGATAGCTCCAATCAAATCAGACCAATGGAGAAGATGTTCTACAAAACGGCAGATATATATATTACTTTCGATAGGGATAGTATTTACCAGGTGGCCAATCTTTTGGATGCGTTTGTTTCGACCACAAGCCTTGAAATGTTATTTGAAATTTCGCTTCGTCGCATGCACAGCAAGGATGACGAGGTCGAAAAGTGGCCTTTGGCATATCTATAGAAATTAACTGAATGTTCATAGGGAAATTTGTATGCTGTCTTTACCTGTCATCATTTGTTTATGTTTCATAGAATTACCATTGCAGTCAATGGTACATGATTGACGCTCTTCCAAAACTTCCGTACAGTGACCATGCATAGCAGCACGCTTGTCTGCATACATTCTTGTTCGAGTTTGCGTACCTGGTCGATGACATGTAGCGTTCGAACATGCTGACCATTCACTCCATATTGAAACAAGACATCGTGGATCGTGAACCACTATGAAACAAGAAAGATTCTATAGCAGTTCTTCTACGGTATCAATCAGACATACTTGATTTATGGTCTTGAATGAGTTCATCGCACATTGCTTCGCATTCTTCGTGTGTCATGAAATTATTGTCATTGCCTATGCAAATTAGACTTCCAGTAGTTAAATTAAAATGCATTGTATCTCTACCTCGACATCCACCATATGAAAATTTAGTACATTTACGTGTTGTACCATCGAAATAGAATCGATCGATAAATTTGGTACACGGACCAGGTTCGAGTGGATGCATACATTTCTCTAAAATAGCACAAATATTCTGATCATTAGTTGAATACGTTCTCTTCGATAACCTACGTTTTCTTTCAGCAGCTTCCATGCTTTTAATCATTGTTCGTCGTGTGTCTGATAGACGATACATTTGTGCTGGATCGCAAGGTGTATGACAATCACGAAATTCTTCTAATGGTTCCGAACAAAAGCCCATTGCTAGAAATTTGACTTTGTATGCACGAAATCGAACTTGCGTGCCGGGTCCACAAACAGACGAGCAAGCGCTCCATTCAGACCAGGGCAAAGTCATACAGCGTGTATCTTTGCCATCCTCTAAAAATATAAACGTATTATTCAATATATTTGTGTTAAATAGAATCCGAATTCAAACCTGTGCGTCCACGTAATAGGATGTCGCATGTATCCTCACATACGTCTCGTGTAAGAAAGTTATTGTCATTAGCACCACAACCACTGTAATCAAATTCTAGACATTTACTCATGTCCAAATTGAAATAGAAACGACGTTCATATTGTGCACATGAGCCGACTTCGAGTGATTGCATGCAAATACGTTTTTTCTCGATCATATCTGTTAAACGGCCTTGTTCACAGAGAGGCTTCATTCCAATACAGGACTCTTTTTCCATCAATTGATACTCCGATCGGCATTGAGACTTGTCGCCACCTTTGAGCATGGTACGTGATCGAGTACGCATACCTTCGCCACATGTAACTGAACAATGAGACCATGCTGACCAGTCGCTAACCATACACCTAAAGTCAAGAGTAATTTACTTGTAAAGAATGTTTTAACAGAAGATTTCGGAGCTTTACATCGAAGTATCCAAGGAATGCGGATGGTTATTTGTCATCATTGATGAGCATGATGTCGAGTGACATGAAGCCATATCATAAGTACGTTCATCGCAGTGATGACGGAAAGCTTTGTCCGGCATAAGATACGAACGTCGTCGTGTTTTGATGCCATGACCACAAGTAACCGAACAGGATGACCAGGGCGACCATTCGGTTAAACGACATTCAGGTGTTGAGGCTTCTTCTACATAGTAGAGTAAGAAAAATTGTAGTTTGCTAGTAATCTAGTTACCATAAGCGTAAACTAATCTTCCTGAATGATCGTATTTTTGTTTCACTCGTTCATTTCGATGATGCACCTGTGAGAGATCAACATCAGGAGATGATTCTTCACGGTGATGATGATTTGTTCGTTGAGAATGTTGTCTACCATTCTGATTATTTGGACACTGAGTTCCACGGACCAGCGTACGTTGAAGTGTAACGCGGGCAACAGGCATTATTGGTTTACCTACTCGCACAGAAGGCAATGCAATTAAAAAGCACAGTGATCCCAGAACTAACTCATTGGATCATGAAAAGATGATGTTGGAGAGATGGTACCAGTGATTGCGTGAATTTTCTCCAATGGCACTGTCGGCAATCGACCAGACTGAAATCAAAGTTCATACATAGGTATTTGCATGAACGCAAATCGAATCCATTGAATTTACTGTATATGTTGTTCCACTATCAATTCCAGCATCCAATGGATAAAGATCTTCCGAATATTGTTCAACCCATGTACAATTCGATAAACATAAATCTACTGCATTGACTCCTATAAACAAACAATAGAAAATATTTTCAATCCAATTCATTCATGATTATACGCGATCAAAAGAAAGCATTACGAAATAATGAAGAAAGCATATATACCTGTGAACCAGTCAGGACTGGGCGAGATTTTGCTCACAAAACTCAATTTAGGATGGCGAGGAGAAACAGTAAATACATTCATTGCTGATGACATTTCATTAGATGACATTTTCAAAGGTCGAGCAAGTATTAAACTACGAATAACACCATTAAATGACTATAACAAACAAAAAGCACTGGATCACATATGTATACAACATCAATGAGAAATACAAGAAGACAACACGAATACAATAGGAATTATGTTGTACATTGTGAGAACAATCTACCTATGAAAGAATCAGAGGATTTTATGTTTTCATCTATGTATCTGCTGACAAGAGATAGACGATGAAAATCTCGATTCGCTCGAATAGCTTGGTACCACCATGAGCCAGACATGAGAAAACGCAAACCAACTGAATCACTTTCACGTTGCTATTTTAATTTTTGTAAAGAAAATCAATAGTTGACAAAAGATATCTTCGTCATACTAACTTCATTTGCTAGATCTTGTTCAAGTGCGTGAGTATCACCAGTGAGAACTAGCTGACTTAAACCACGATTAGCATATGCACCAATTTCAAATAATGAATAATTAGAATTATGAACAGCACCGACAGTTGTTGAGAAATGAGCTTTTATAAAAATAGAATTCCATGTTTTATAAGATCAAACGAAGTTTTCTCTTACCTGTTGTTGCTGGCCAGTCTTTTTTGTGCGTCTGTGGTGACCAAAGTCCTTTAAATGTTAATTGATATTTGGCTTCACCACAAGCACAACATTGTTGCATCATTTTTTTCATATGCATTTCTGAAGAAGAAAACAAAGCAATTCTTGTTATACTGACATATAGCATTGCGTATTCCTTGGCATACTAACGATCTTCACACATGGTATAGGTTAACGCATTATCATCTTTGAACCAAACCGTATCCGATCGTACTACAGTTGCTCTAAACACAGTAGTTTTGTACTGTTTCACCTGCTCTAGTCCTTAGAAAGACAATATCTACTTGAATGAAATACATCCCTGCGGATGACGTGGTGCAATCCAATCGACAGAAATCGAATTTTTCAATTTATCTGGATTCGCATCTGTAACACCGCCAGGACAATTACGTTGACTGATGATCGCTTCTTGCGTTGATTCGTCATTTGTATGCGTCGATGGTAATAACTCAAATTGTCCGACTGGACGATAGGCTTGATCATCAGACCATGTTGATGGTACAGCAATAAGCATAAATTCTTTGAACGATGACTGATACGTTTGACTTTTGAAACCGCTCAATGAAACTAGAAACTTAATCTTTTGATATCGTATATCTTCACAAATAATCTCTTACCTTTGTATGTTCGACCCGGAACATATGTTTTAAAACTACCTTCAACTGTTATACGAAAACCATTATCCCCTGACGTCTGAGGTACAAGATATCGCGATGAACGATAGCAAGTCGGCGGTTGTGCAAGAACAACATTGTAGAAAAGTAATAAGTGAAGAACATACACAACTAACATTGTCTTGTTAATGTAATGTATGTTGAGAAAATGTACCTGTGCTTGTTTAAACTACAAGAGAGAGACAAAAGAAAGAAAATATGAATATTTCAGGACATAACCAACAATTGTAATAGAATACAAGGAAAATAATAACAACAACAACTAAGACGAAGAACTGTATGTTTGTATATGGAAAGCACCAGAAAGAAAGAAGAAAGAGACAGAGAGAAAGAAAGAAGTAAGTAATAAATCAATAATAAGCGAAAGACAGTATATTCTATTGAAGAAATACGACGATGATGATGATGATGAAAGGCTAATTTCTCTTTTTTCTCCTTGCACTTTTGTTTTCTCTGATATGCCAACTGACAATCAAACGAAATCAAATCAAATCTTCAGACAGTTTCAATAATGTCTAATTACAGATATAATACGAAAATACTATTCAGATTTAGTAATTCGAAGCAGTTTTACAATACTCAAGAGAATAGAAAACGCACGTTCATACTCGAAAACAATGTTGAAATTCAGAATTCTCTAAGATGTTCTCTTTTCTTCTGCTTCTTCTTTCTGCTTAGTCAGTTCATAAATAATTTAGGTTTTTATCGATTGAGAAGTGATTTTTTTCTCATCAACAAACTTGCTGTGATCTCGTCCTTGAAAGTAAGTAGTTTCACTATTCTACAGAGACGAATATAATTGAAAAATGTCTATCTTGATAATAAGAGAACTCTATAATGATAAATAGTACTTCGAGGGCACATAGATAATAATAAACATGCTGTCTTTTCGTAATAAACAGATGGCATTGCCTAAATGACATTCTTTTGATATGCACAATTTATTAAGAAATCCTAAAGAGGCCAACTCGATATCGACGATTCCACATCGTTATCAGGCGAAAAAAACATTCAGCTTACAATCAAGCGATTATGTTTCCTGTTAGTCTCTTTTATTGGCAGCTAAAAAAGGAAAATCTCTTTTCCGTCTTTTCTATTATTCAATGGGCTCTTATTTACTTTTGAACTTGCGATTGAATGCAAAATGTCCTTACTCAGAAAAGCAATCATACCAACGGCAGCGAGTCTATCAAAACAGCTGCCATAATTCAGAAAATAAAAGGAAAGTCACCGCAACATCGACCTTGTTCCATGGAAAATATACTTGCAAACCGATAGATAATATACCTAACAGATAGTATATTGTTTTTCAGCGTATTGGATACTTGATTCAATAAACATGTACACACAAATGAATTATGCACACTCAAGATCTACCAATGAACGTCATAAACGAACATAACAAAAAAATTGAAAAATGATTAAACAATACGAAAATTCTTTAGTGTCTAGAACGACAATACACACGCGCATGCACACATATACACACAAATGAGATAATAAAAAAACAGTGAGAGATCTATTATTGACTATGATATATGAATTCATGTCGTTTCTTAAACGTTGTTAGTCGTATTTGCAGATGACGATGCAGCAGATGCGACAGCTACTGGTGTCAATTCTGCGGCTAATTTTTTTGGTCGGCCTCGTTTCTTAGCTATGCTATCGGATTTAGCTGGTGGTTTTGCTTTTAGTGCTGATTTTTTGGCAGAAACAGATCCAGATGGCCGACCGCGTCTTCTGCCCGATGAAGTTTCTGTTGATATCGGAGATTTCGCCGGCTTTACAACCTTTTTAGGCGAGGATCCGGATGGTCGTCCACGTTTTTTCTTTTCTAGTGCAGATGCACTATCTGTTTCTTTTGGAACTTCTACCGGATTTGCTCGAACCTAAAAGACGTCTTCATCAGATCGATAGTTTCTGGAAACGGGAAGTTTTACTTGTGGTTTAACGATGCTACTGATTTGTTCAGTTGGCGCGACCACGTTCTTCGATGGTCGACCGCGTTTCTTTTTATTTGCGTTACCATTTGCTGACGGTTGTTCGTTTTTTCCTGATGTTGTCAATACAGCTTTTTTGGTTGATGACGTTTCTCCTGTTGTTTTGCTTGGTCGACCACGGCCACGTTTGACCTCATTGGCATTCTTTATCACCTTCATTGTACCTGCAGACTTCGGTGGACGACCTCGGCCTCTCTTTGCATTGACATTAGCTGATGATCGATTGTTTTTACCTTGATCTAGATGACAAGTATTCCTCTATGAGTGGCAAATAAACAAACAAAACTCATTTACCATGAACACCGTTGGTTGCTGCATCTGTATCCATAGGCAAAACTCCGGCACTGTCATTCAAAGTTGAAGCATTGTTCTGTTGTTCCATTTAAAGTTCGATTTTGTGTAAATAAATCAAAAGCGAATCTGTAGCGAAAAGAAAAAATAAGAACGTCTCAATAAGATGAGCTCGATTGACCGATGTTTCTCTAATGATAGAGAAAGAACAAATGAACAATGATCGACTGATCATCTTTCTCTATTTCTCATTGGCCAACGAGATAAGATCTTGTATAAAAACCTGTCTTTCGTTTTCTTTTGAATACTACTGAAATATTCAATGGAAGAGTACGTTTGACTGACGACTTCACTCGACAGGTTATTAGCACTTCGTTTTCATAAAACATGGCACTCAAGATAATAGAATGATACGCATATCTTTCGTCTGTGTCAAGTGACATCTGTTATCTCTTCCGAGTAGATTACGATTGGTTTGATCACAAAAAGAGCAATCTTTAATTATAAAGGATGTCACTTCCTTTTCTTATATGCTTTTTTTCCTAATAAACAAAAAAGAAAACGCACGCACGCACACGGGAAAAAGATACTGTACACAAAAAGAAACCAATGCTCGGAAAACAAACAAACAGATCGGGTATAAAAGACCGAAAAAACGAACCCGTTCTAGATACTTGTTGCTAGATATATATGTATATATATATACAAGCAGAAAATGGTCACATCGAAGTTTTTTTACATATATACACTGACAAGTTAATGTTGTTCGTTTCTCATCTTTATCATCAAATGTACATAAAGAGGAAAAACAAATTCATATGTAAGAAACAGAGTGCAAGAGAGAGCGAGAGAGACAGACAAAAAGAATCACAGATGAAACAATGACGTGTACTGTAATAAAGAAGAAGAAGAAGAAGAAGATATACAAGTATATGTATGTACATGGGGAAAAGACATGAAACTGTTCTTCAATGTTATGCACAAAAAGAAGAAGGAAAAAAACTCGAAAGAATAAACCAAACAAACAAACGAACAAACAACAGATCAGTTGATTGTGAAGCAATGAAACGAAACGAAAGAGACAAATGTAACAGGAAACGAACTAATGGTATGCTAAACCGGGAAAATCAACTCTCTCACACTCACTTAATTTACAACACACAGAAATAAAAGTAATAGAGATACCTGAAATGGTCTGGTTGTTACAAATACGCACGCACGCACACACATATATTATATATATATAGAGAAAATTTTTATATACAAATTTCTTTTTACATCATACCAATCTGATTGAACACAGATTCATCATCGCCGTATAAGTCAATAAGAACTCCTAATACTTGAGGATGTTCATGAGCAATTGCCCATTCAACAAGTGATTTGTCACCTGTTTTGCGGCGTTCTTCATACCGACGCCAATTGGCACCGTGCTTCAGTAACGTAACAACAACAGAACCTTGATTGCATTCAATAGCTCGTTCTAATGGAGTCTTATCTTCGAAGCCAGGATAATCAACGGGAAAACCACGTGTTAATAAATATTCAATGATATCAAGACGACCATAGCCTATGGCAACATTTAATGCTGATTCACGAGCCACCGAGATGCAGTACTAGAATAGAAAAATTCGATTTTATTTGTTATCCGATCATGGCCAATATTCTTATTGATAAGAAATCCTACGGTCAACAAAAAGACGTTGACTCGCAGCGAAAACCTTGGTCATGATTAATCTAAAATTGAGCTTTTCAAGCATATAGAATGGATGAAAACGAACTACCCCTACATATGTGCGTCAATTTTATTTTGATTCACTGCACCAATTCAAAGAGTAAAACTCAGGAACTTTTTTCACTTTCCCTCCTTCTAGAAAGTAAAAACAAAAACGGTACCTCGATCAACCTTATTTTCTATGCACAATAAGAAATCTATGCTATGGTGATTCATAATCGATGGTTTGAGAAAGAAAAACAATCTCTTCTATTTGTTTTGCCTATGTTCTTTTTCAATACTTTGTTGTTTTTTCGCATGCAACCGAACTTACGGGATTATGACCGAGATGAAGGAGCAGATCGACCATAGTAAGTCTTCCGTTATCAATAGCAGTGTATAGTGGTGTGTGACCATTGGAATCGAGTAAACATGTATCAGCGACTGTTGGCTGTTGTCGAAGTCGACTATGTAAACGAACTATTCCTGTAACATCATTTGTTCGAACAGCATGATGCAAATCAAACTTCGGCAGAGGTAACTCCGAAAGTTGTTGTTGAGGGTTTTGCTGTTGTTGTTGCTGCTGCTGTTGCTGTTGCAGTTGTTGATGTTGAAGTTGTGGGATTAGTTTCGTCGGATGAGAAGGTTGCTGATACGGGGCATAATGGGTACGATGTTGAGCAATCACAGGACCTCCGTTATGATGATGATGAGAACGGCGTCGATAATTACTCTCAGTTAACATCTTACTCGTGATCACGATGGAAATAAACAAAAAAAAAATATCTAAAAGTAAAATCATACATCAGCTAAGAGAAGATATATACATGTAAATGACCTTCTCCTCCCTCTCGTCGTCGTATTCTTCTTCACATCACCCTAGATCGATGGTCTAGCATGCCCTAAGTGCATCTCTCTTTCTCTCCCTTTCTCTATTAATCGAAAGAGAAAAAACGAAGAGAAGAAAGTAGAGAACGAATTAAACTCGATATCCAGGTTGTTCGTCTTTTTATTCGTACATATCACGAAGCAAAATAAAGAAAATAACGTTTTATTATCAAAGAGACAACTCTTTCGTGTCTGATAGATTTTCATTGTGAGCTGGTGCACAGCGTCAGCTGTGATGAAATGAGTAAGCACGGGTGAGAATGAATCAAGAAAAGGATCATATCAGAACAATTGGCCTCCACTTTCTTTAGATAGCGTAATAGCTTTGTCCTCCACGATTACTTGCTCACATGTGTGATGGACGAGATGGATATGGCATAGGCATACGTCCCTATTTCTTTTCCCTACGTCCTTCTCCGTTCTTCATCTATTCATATATCCCCTTTGTTCGATAATTTTATTGTCAGCTACGCACAACGACACAAGGTCTCGTTCTCGTAAGATGCGTACGGCCTACACGCAAAAGAAAATGAATAGAATGAAGAGAAAAAAAATGTACTCAGTCTTTCTATCTACAATAAATGCCGTTTTATACGTACTAGCAGTGACCAATACATGTATATATTTGCACACTAGTTATTTAGTCGACGACTTACGTCTGCGAGTAAAAACAATGCATCTGTTTTTTTTAATTCTTAAGTGGTGCACTGACGTGTCTTTCTTTTTCGCTATGTGTGCTATGCAACCAATTGCCTCAAGCATGTACGATATATCCAGTCAGTCATTTACTTTAGAGATGAAAGCATCATCATCATCATCCTTTTTGTCTCTATTATGCTTACAATTACCTTTGGTGTGTATGTCTACCGAAAAATAAGAAGCAAAGCGAAAAAAGAGGTGAAGGCATAGAAAATGATTCAAATGAAAAGAAAAGGCAATGTGTGCTGCTGCTGCTGTTGTTGTTGTTGCTGCTTCTGTTTCTCTTGATGTCTAAATCAAGTAGTAATACTAACACGACGAATCATATACGTGTGCTTGTTCTTCTATTTCTTTTTTCTTTCTTTTTTTTCTCTGCTCTCGTTCCCCAAAAAACCGCATATATACATACCAGCTGCTTGTCGAGTCTAGGCATTGAGAATTCGACGAGAGAAAAGAGAAAGAAAAACTGAAATTGCGAGAACAGAGAAGTTATACCCTTGTCTCATCGGAAAACATTCGGGCTGAAGGGTTGCGTTTTACGCGATCTATTAACAATACACGTAGGCGAAAAAAGCAAGACGAAGGAGAAGAAAGAATGGAATTCCTTCTACTCACTGTTTATTCTTAGATGAATTGACGTTTGTGTTTTCTTGAGAAAAAGAAAAGAAAACGCTACAAGAAAGCTAATTAGAATAGAATAGAATCAGTACAAGTCTTCTTTCATGAAAACAAACATGTTGAACGGTATAGCAAATGCTATTTATTTTTCGAGAGAAAAACAACACGTCCTCAATCGTCAATTTTTACCCACAAAACTAGCTCACTGACGGATGGATAATAAACAGCGTTCGAAATGTGAAGCATTAGTATCTTAAACTAATGTTCCTAGCGAAAGAAAAAAAACCGCCCATGATGACATTTTGTGAATGTTAACTATGAGAGAAGTATACAATCAATCGTTGTCATGCATATGTAATTAATCGATCCCATTCATCTTTCTCTATCTCTCGTATACTCGACGTACCGATGGAATTGAAGAGAAAAGAAGAAAAAAGAAAGTCATAATAATTATACATTTGAAAAATTTGTTCTCTTTCACTACTCGGTGTTTACCTCTTGTGCACGAAACTAAAATGAAAAGAAAACAACATCGAAATAAAGAGAAGAAAACACACAAAAAAGAAACTTTCTGATTATTATATACACGTGCCACGTCACGTCAATAATAGTGACGCAGAACTATCCAATTGGGTGTTATTTCGCCGTATGATGACGTTGGATCTTACATCATCTCTCATGTGATTAGTTTTCTCTTTGTACGGGAGAAAAAGGATTACCTATTTAAGATGTACACATATGATATCACGAAAATGGATGAACGTAACATGAGTTCAACAAGTAATCAACGGTGAGAAAAAGAAAACTGATAAAACAAAATCGAAGCAAAGAACATTGTTGACTCGAGAAATCTTCATTGTGATCAATTATAGTAGTAGACGACAGACACCGATTGTAGAAAAAAAAAAACGAAAAAGCAACCCATCATTATCATTATCGTGTCTAAAATGATCACCTTCGTTGTATACGTCTATTCGTCATCACCTCATCTATCATCTTGCTTTCTTCATCATACAATTGATTCGAGACATGATTAGAGATAGAATAAAGCGAGAAGAAGAAATCAAGTCGATTCGTTTTGAATGATAGTGATTTTTTATGAAAACATCTGGCTAATCAACTGCTCACTTCACGAGTCGATGAAAGATTTTTGTTTTTCATTGCTCAGATTT